GACAAGATATTTAGGCAGGAAGTTGGAATAGCTAATGTTCATCTTTTAAAACAACAGAACTCAACGAATTCAAATTATGCCCATCTTCTTATCTGATGTTTTGATTCAAATACATAATTTAGCATGTCACGTATGTCACCTCTCGCTATAACGAGATATCGTCAGGCGTTTTCCACTCATAAGTTTAGTGAGATTAAAACTGGTAATCTATCACAATCATGACCTTAAAATGCGTTCAGACTAGTTCCTGGCATTTCACTATTTTTTGTTACTGCCTTTGAGTCTTCCACAAGTGCAAAAGAAAGTTAAAGAAACAAGAAAACAAACAAAACCAAAACTGCCTTAACATCCAGAGTATATATCTCCCTTTTGTCTGTTCATAAATGCCACATGTATGTATAGGTACTTGTAACAATTATTGATGGCAAAAAAACAGTTCTTCCCATTCTGTGAAGTGTTTTACTTTCATTAATCTATTAATGATTGATATTTGTTAAAAGATCAACTACCCTCAACATCGCAGAAAAGATACAGTTGGTTTGATGGCAATTCCCAGCGGTTCATAGCATCATAGACATTGACAAAGAGACAGACAGATGAAGTGTAGAACATCCTCCTCCCTTTGTGGTAGATCACATTACAATTATCTAAAATACAAAGCCTTAACATTGTCAACCTGATGAAATTCATATTGCCCACAATGAACCATCATGACAATATGAGGATACATAGCATAATCATCAATATGACATAAAAAAAGTTATTGCTTCCACTGAACAGAATGGTCGCACATGTAAGTGCTGTCTGTGGGGTGCACACATTCCTACTACCGGTATGTGGCGGTATATGATTACTACAATACCAACTGCTGAACAGTGACGAAAGTATTCTACTTATGCATGTCTCCATATTTTTCCGTCCCTAAATTATAATAAAAATACACTACCACATAAATTGAGTTTGTGCATCTGTCATTATCCTTGTTCAAATCATATTGTTATCAGATTTCAACACATCCTTGTTGTAATTAATTCATTTACTTTCAGATACAAAAATCTGAAAAATATATATGGAACACCCATTGACATTTTCGACATATGATTGAATTTTCAGTCCAAGTACAATCTGACGAGAGTGCTTTTCCCTGTTTGACCCATGCAAGAGAACAACAGTTTAAGTGGTACTGCCTGTACATTGCAGTATTATTCACTGCAGCCTCTTTTCAATAAAACAAACACCTGTTTGGTTATATTGTGACTGTATGACTGTAATACAACAGCCACAATAACAATAAGTTTCCATAAGGTACTTAAAGTCTGTATGCTCTCAGGAACTCAGATCATGCACATGCTCGGGTAGGTCCCCTATAGTAGGCCGTAGCACATCTAAGAGTAAGTGGGCATCAAACTTGGTCGGGCTGTTTTCACCGCTCTAGTTGAATGAGGTGAAGAATCTAATAGGAAATACAATTGAATAAGAGCATGCATGAATTTGAAGACTGTGATAATTTTATCTGCTTTCATGCCAAATGGAATAGCTATAGGAAACAAGCCATAAGGAGAAGAAAAAAACAACTAGAAATATCACTTAATGTGATTAATACCCCCGCATCACCAATTCACATGCCAAGTAACTGTAAACATTGTGCATCTAAATTGTAAAAAAACAACAACAACAAACAAACAAAACATTAACAAATTTAAATGGCATTTTTGGCGAAAAATTGTTGTTACCATGGCAACGCCTCATTTGACATACACAAAATGTATGTCTTGCTTATTTGAATTTTTAAATCATTATGTGTACCAAGTTTCATCAAAATTGCTCAACAATTATTGTGGCAGAAGTTCGCTCGATCCACAAGGGTTTTATATAGAAATGGCATATTTTTGGTGCAAAATTGTGGTAACCATGGTAATACCTTATCAAATGTACACAACAAATATGTTTTGCATATCCTCAGCTCAAGAGCATCACGTTTCATGAAAATTGCTCAAAAACTTAAAGTAGTTCGCTCAACAAGGTTTTACTATCAAAATGGCATATTTTGGAGCAAAATTGAAACTACCATAGCAACGGTTTATCTAACATACACAAACAATATTTCTTGCACATCCTTACTTCAAAAGCATCAAGGGTACCAGGTTTCATCAAAATAACTCCAAAATTGTGGAAGAAGATCACTCCACAAGGTTTTGATATCATAATGGCATATTTTTTGAGCAAAATGGTGATTACCATGGCAACGCCTTATCCGGCATACACAACAATTATGTCATGCACAGCCTCACCTGAAGAGCATCTAGTGCCTAGAGGGGGATCCCCAAAAGAAGGAAGGAGCCCCCAGGCTTCTGAGGGGGTCACCATAAAGTCGAACGGTGCCCCTTCATTCATGCTCGGAATTGGCTCACAATGGTAAGACAGAGCCTCCGGCCTTCAGAGATACTTGGAGGGGGCTTTAAACAGATGGGCAAAGCACCCGGTCTTATGATATGATGAGATAGGGTTCTCTAAAAGGTCGGTGCCCCTAGACTTCATTCATGCTCGGAAGAAGCTCCCAAAGAGATGGACAAAATGGGCAGAAAGTGCAAGATTGCCCCCCTCATTCCATCCCATTTATATAGAACCTGTCTTAAGCAAGCACCCTCTTGGCTACGCCAATCATAAAATAATTATAGTTCGCTTTTCTCTTTATAATATAGAACTAGTATTAGGCAAGCAACGTACCCCCACTCTCTTCCCTTCTTTGGCTACGCCAATCAGAATTTAGTTTGTTTTTATTAAGCAATTATATTTGTTCTCTTTATTTAATGGAGCCTCATAAAGTTAGCCCCTTAGTTAGTTCTGAAAGATTACGCCAAATTAAGCACATGGGACTGACCCCAGCCGACCCGATCACCCACGCGATCCGATCACCAAGGTCAGTTGAATACAGCATTACGGATTACCACTTGGCAAAAAAAAAAAAAAAACCCTTCTATACTCTGACATTTTACTGGTATACTTAAACACGTACTACACAAAAAACACAATAATATGCAGGAATACTCATATAAACTCACCACAAAAGTGATCAGGAAGCTCGAAGATGCAGCCTCTCTCCATCTCAGCTAGTCAGCTTGCGATCGATATCCACCATCGTACACACCACGTACGCGACGTACGTACGTTACATGCGCGTGCTTTGTTGGCATGGCACTCTGAACGCGTACATTTGGAATAAGCCCCCCCCCCCCCCGTATGCGCCATTTGGTCGCGTTATCTGACCTGACGCGCCCCAACAATCCAACGCACCCTTTCGGCCAAACCGGGGGGGGGGGGGGTTGGACGAATGGTCGCGTTCAAGTCAAGTCAACGCGACGCGACGCTACCCACCCTTTCGGAATAAGCCTCTGTCGTCTACGACCTATCACCTACAGCTTTATGCCTCAGTCACACCTTTGCGTTTGTTGCTCTGTGTTACTGCACTCTGCGGGGTATATCAATACGCAGCCGTGCCCAGCAATACGCAGCAAATTTGAAGGTAGCAGTCACACTATTGCGTATCAAGCTCGTAGGAAGCTCGTATGCCGCTCGTACCAAGACTGCCTACGGTTGCATACGGCTGCCTATGACTGCGCTATAGCTCGCTGTTGCTCAAAGCAGTACGATTTACTACGCAGTTTGCTCGCCATGTTGCGTATGTATCTCGATCTTTGCTCGTTTGCTAGCCGCTCGCACCAGTTGGCCTCGTTGCGTGTTCGCTCGCTTTAGCTCTTATGTTGTTCGTACTGATGCGTGCCAGCTCGCGCTACAGCGTACCAACTCGCTCGGGCTGCGGCATATGTATAAATACTAGTTATTTTGCGGGACTGGGCATAAACATCTTAGCTTCTAAAGCACTCATAGTACGTGAGGTATCCACTGCCATCGTTGAGGAATACGGCGATGAGGTGGTGAGGTGCCCTACCAGCCCACAGGAATGGAAAGCAGGCGCACAGGGCTTCGAAGACCGCTGGAATTCTCCCCATGCCATTTGTGCTTTGGACGACAAGCATGTTGCAATCAAGTGCCCCGAGGATAGTGGGTCAATATTTTACAAGTACATGTACAAGGGTTTCTACTTTATTGTACTTATGGCCCTGGTCGGTGCCAAGTACGATTTTTGTTTGGGTAGATGTCGGATACAAAGGCTCTAACTCCCTCTGATGCACATCTCCTCAACTCGTGTGAATTAGAACAACGCCTTGAATCTGACACCTTTGGAGTACGTGCCTCTACCAAAGCCCATGCCTACCCATAGGAAAGAAATGAGCCTGCCGCATACTCATGCGGCAGACTTGCCGCAGATCTGCAGCAGAACCGCCGCAGACAGTCATCTTTTTCACATGCAAATTAGTTTTGCCGCAGACTTGCCGCAGACTTGCCGCATACTCTTTCAGTCTGATGAATAGTCTGCAGCAGGTCTGCCGCAGACTCTTTATCATGGATAATCATAGAAAGGGCTATAACAAAGAGTCTGCGGCAGATCTGCTGCAGACTCCTTTATTATGAATATTCATAGAAAAAGCTATAACAAAGAGTCTGCTGCAGACCTGCCGCAGACTCTTCATTATGAATATTCATATCTCATATAGACCTGCTGCAGACCTGCCGCATACTCTTTGATATCCAGTACGTGGCAATTAAGTATGCACTCTTGCTGGAAAGCATGCATTGCATCATTACATTCTAGCACCTTGAATTAGTAGAAACAGCTAAAACCGGCGGAATTGCTTCAAAAATTCTACAAATCGTCAATTTCAGATCAATAATGAAACTTTAAGTAGAAGGGCGTCAGCACTAAATCGCCTCAAACTTTTATAAAACTGACTTATTTCTGAGAACAACATTATGGCCGTGTTCTACTACAACATCTTTATTAGTCTTTTATGTTTTAAACCGATTTTCGGGACGGAAAGCAGTTTAAATATAAAACAAATCTTTAAATGCAAATAAATCGAAAAGTAGTTTTCGAGTCATTAACGCCCTTCTGCCACCTGGCCGACGAAATATGGGTTTAACACAATGTAGAAGTAGAGGTAGAGGAATGGGAATACAATAACTGCATACACATAGTCCAGAGTAGAGTCACAGATCAATGTGCTAATTACAACAACAAAGTAAGTTAGTGGGGCTGCAGATAAGATCACATATGGCACAACAAAAAAGTTTGAAACAGTCCGTTAATTCCTCAGTCTCCTCTTATGTAACAAATTCTCTTATGGTACCACTAAGAACTTGAAGCAAATTGTTTGGTTTGACAGAAGCTAAAAAGACAATTAACAGTGCTAACACAGGAATTTACAAGATCATGGGCTCAGCCTGCAACCCATGGCCCTGCATGGTCCTCCAAAATGGCCGCCTATAGCCTTGCTGCAGAGTGTATAATTTTCCACTTTTCTATGGCAGACCTGCCGCATACTGTTCCTGTGGCATACTGGTATGCGGCAAGTTTGGAGCAAAGTTTCATCCTGCCGCAGATCTGCCGCAGACTGTTCCTGCGGCATACTGATATGCAGCAAGTCTTGAGCAAAGTTTCATCCTGCCGCAGATCTGCCGCAGACTGTTCCTGTGGCATACTAGTATGCGGCAAGTCTGGAGCAAAGTTTCATCCTGCCGCAGATCTGCCGCAGACTGTTCCTGTGGCATACTGGTATGCGGCAAGTCTGCAGTACAATTTCTTTCTGCCGCACACTTCGGCATACTCTTTGCCGCAGACTAAAAGTCTGCCGAAGATCTGCGGCAGGTCTGCGGCAGGTCTGCGGCATACTTTCCACTTTCCTTCGGGTAACGATGATGAAGACATCCCCTACTTCTTTGTGTCAAACGAGGCCTTCGCCCTGAGGACATGGCTAATGAAGCCGTATGCAAGAACGGCTATGGCTAGACAAGAGAGAATTTACAACTATACCGGCTCTCCCGTGCAAGGAGAGTGGTAGAGAATACTTTCGGCATTCTTGCCAACCGATTTTAGTGATTGCTAAAGTGTAAAAGCTGTAACCCCAAAACTGTTCTAATTTTGTCAATAATGTGAAATGTGAAACAAATAAAACTTGAACAAAAAAACAAACTTGAAGATTCCCATGAATGAATGGAATGCCACCAAGTGCGTAAAGGTGTTTTAAGATATTCACGTTCGAATACAGTAATTGTGAACTTGCAAGACCATTCATTTTCACTTGGATCCTTGGCCACATACGTAATATCATATGTTCCTGGAGAGAACACACCCGTTCATCTGTTGCTGTTGGAATTTGCCATGAAATGAATACCTGTGTTTGTCCACGAGGCACAGTCTCATTCAAGTTTGAAGGACAAGTAAAATCTAGAGGGGTGGTGTCAGCTGAAAGATATTGCAAAGGATAATCAATCCAGTTAAACAGAGACACGACCACATTAGTATGACTTTGCTACATAAATTCAAGAGCTACATATGACACTGAACTTAGAAATTATAATTATTAGAAAATAAATCATTTCATGTTTGCTATTCCGAAAGAAAAAACAGTCAGTCCGTCACTCAATATTCTGAAAGCGAGGTCTAGAAAGTAAACGGGTTCCCTTGCATAATTTCAATACACGGACACTGCTTATACGTTTAAATTTCGCAGATAGGACATACGTGACATGTTCATAATTCCGGCAAAATTCTACACAGAATTTGATGTTGGCTGCAAATGGGACACAGTACCTTTAAGTGACTCGGTAACATCGTTGAAGGTTGATTAAAATATTTCGTAATTTTTGTATGAAATGATACTTATAATCTTCCTTCTACTGTACCAACCATTTAACGTGCAAACAATCCTGAAAAAAGTTTAAACATTTTCAAGCCCCTCCTTTTTTTCTTTTCGTGATGTCATGCAGGCGCCATTTTGTGAAATCACATTATCAATCATATCTTCATGAAGAGTCATCAAAGGTCATTCATATTCATATCACATATACTTTAGGTCAAGGGTCAACAGGTCATGTCATCAAAAGTTACATAAAGGTCACGATGCGCTCGTCAAAATTCAAAAATGCTCAAAATCACAAAACTATTAAACGAGAGTACGAATCAGGTCATTTTAAGCATTTCAAAAATCTCCGCCCGCAGCGCCTACAAAACGTAAACACGCCGTTTTTTAGCATGGTTTGCATCAGCACCATTATCATCATCATCATGATCACCATCACGACCATCATCATCATGATCATCATCACCCAAATTATCATGATCATGATCATTATCTTTATAATCATTATCATGATCATCATCTATTCATCATCATGATCATCAAGGAGTTAATTTCATTATGGTCATGATTTTGATCATAATTATTTCTTGATATTTTGTTCATCAGTTAAGTTATCACTTCAGTTCAGGTCAATCAGTTCAATCTATCAGTTTATCAGTACTTCATTCATCAGTCCATATCTTAATACATAGTATTACATTAACATCATTATATTGGATCATTGAATTGAAGATGAGCATGATCATAAGAATTGAAGACAGACCACCTAATTCGTCCTCATGACGATTTAAATTTCTAGTTATTATTTATTTTTATTTCTCCACTTTTTGTGCACAGGATAATTCAACATCAGTTACTTAGGTCAATTTATTTTAATTTTGGTACAGTCATAGATCATCGTCATAAGACGTGTCATAAAACAACAGAAAATGAAATAAATTGTCAATAATTTATTGCTTTTACCCCGGTTCCCAACATAAACAAATCTTCTGTGTGCCCATACCTTGAGCCATAATGCATGGCCGTCCAGAGGATTTTTTTTGATGTTGGAGACCGGGGTAAAATGCACTAAATTATTGCAAATTTATTGCATTTTCTGTGTTTTTTTTAATTTATGGAAACTGCCCCCTACCCTAGCCCCCGCTGCGTACAGTCATGGTTCAGTGACAAAGCAATGGCCTCGTAACTGTGAGGCCCCAGGATCAAAACCGTGTCGATGTGATATATAAGTGCCCTTTTGTGGGGCATCAATCCTCATTACTTTCATTTATGACTTAAGGGAATAGGTCCCCTAGTTGATAAGCATAGTAGCATACACATGCTTTAGCTGTCACGCAAAACACAGATTGGCAAATTGTTATTCAATAAAATCTGAGAATGTATACTATTATTTAGATCTATTATTTTTTAATTAATTTTAAAACAATTCCATAAATTGGGGTAAAAAAAAAATATTCCACCTTTATGAGCGACAGTGTATTCATTACAATTAATTTCGACGTCTTTTCAAAGAATTTATTATATCATGTGACACTTCCAGTATATTTTATATTATGTTCTAATTTTGTCAAATATGTAAAATGAGAAACAAATAAACTTGAATTTTTTTTGGTGAAGATTTCCAAGAATGAATAGAATGCCACCAAGTGCGTAAGGTGTTTTAAGATACTCACGTTCGAATACAGTAATTGTGAACGTGCAAGACCATTCATTTTCACTTGGATCCTTGGCCACATACGTAATATCATATGTTCCTGGAGAGAACACACCTGGTCCGCGAGAAGAAGTGATTTGATATGTCGTGCCGGATTCATCTGTTGCTGTTGGAATTTGCCATGAAATGAATACCTTTGTTTGTCCACGAGGCACAGTCTCATTCAAGTTTGAAGGACAAGTAAAATCTAGAGGGGTGGTGTCAGCTGAAAGATATTGCAAAGGATAATCAATCCAGTTAAACAGAGACACAACCACATTAGTATGACTTTGCTACATAAATTCTAGAGCTACATATGACACTGAACTTAGAAATTATAATTATTAGAAAATAAATCATTTCATGTTTGTTATTCCGAAAGAAAAAACAGTCAGTCCGTCACTCAATATTCTGAAAGCGAGGTCTAGAAAGTAAACGGGTTCCCTTGCATAATTTCAATACACGGACACTGCTTATACGTTTAAATTTCGCAGATAGGACATACGTGACATGTTCATAATTCCGGCAAAATTCTACACAGAATTTGATGTTGGCTGCAAATGGGACACAGTACCTTTAAGTGACTCGGTAACATCGTTGAAGGTTGATTAAAATATTTCGTAATTTTTGTATGAAATGATACTTATAATCTTCCTTCTACTGTACCAAACATTTAACGTGCAAACAATCCTGAAAAAAGTTTAAACATTTTCAAGCCCCTCCTTTTTTTCTTTTCGTGATGTCATGCAGGCGCCATTTTGTGAAATCACATTATCAATCATATCTTCATGATGAGTCATCAAAGGTCATTCATATTCATATCACATATACTTTAGGTCAAGGGTCAACAGGTCATGTCATCAAAAGTTACATAAAGGTCACGATGCGCTCGTCAAAATTCAAAAATGCTCAAAATCACAAAACTATTAAACGAGAGTACGAATCAGGTCATTTTAAGCATTTCAAAAATCTCCGCCCGCAGCGCCTACAAAACGTAAACACGCCGTTTTTTAGCATGGTTTGCATCAGCACCATTATCATCATCATCATGATCACCATCACGACCATCATCATCATGATCATCATCACCAAAATTATCATGATCATGATCATTATCTTTATAATCATTATCATGATCATCATCTATTCATCATCATGATCATCAAGGAGTTAATTTCATTATGGTCATGATTTTGATCATAATTATTTCTTGATATTTTGTTCATCAGTTAAGTTATCACTTCAGTTCAGGTCAATCAGTTCAATCTATCAGTTTATCAGTACTTCATTCATCAGTCCATATCTTAATACATAATATTACATTAACATCATTATATTGGATCATTGAATTGAAGATGAGCATGATCATAAGAATTGAAGACAGACCACCTAATTCGTCCTCATGACGATTTAAATCACTAGTTATTATTTATTTTTATTTCTCCACTTTTTGTGCACAGGATAACTCAACATCAGTTACTTAGGTCAATTTATTTTAATTTTGGTACAGTCATAGATCATTGTCATAAGACGTGTCATAAAACAACAGAAAATGAAATAAATTGTCAATAATTTATTGCTTTTACCCCGGTTCCCAACATAAACAAATCTTCTGTGTGCCCATGCCTTGAGCCATAATGCATGGCCGTCCAGAGGATTTTTTTTTATGTTGGAGACCGGGGTAAAATGCACTAAATTATTGCAAATTTATTGCATTTTCTGTTTTTTTTTTATTGTTGGAAACTGCCCCCTACCCTAGCCCCCGCTGCGTACAGTCATGGTTCAGTGACAAAGCAATGGCCTCGTAACTGTGAGGCCCCAGGATCAAAACCGTGTCGATGTGCTATATAAGTGCCCTTTTGTGGGGCATTAATCCTCATTACTGTCATTTATGACTTAAGGGAATAGGTCCCCTAGTTGATAAGCATAGTAGCATACACATGCTTTAGCTGTCACGCAAAACATAGATTGGCAAATTATTATTCAATAAAATCTGAGAATTTATACTATTATTTAGACCTATTATTTTTTAATTAATTTTAAAACAATTTTATAAATTGGGGTAAAAAAAAAATATTCCACCTTTATGAGCGACAGTGTATTCATTACAATTAATTTCGACGTCTTTTCAAAGAATTAATTATATCATGTGACACTTTTAGTATATTTTATATTATGTTCTAATTTTGTCAATTATGTGAAATGTGAAACAAATAAAACTTGAAAAAAAAAAACTTGAAGATTCCCATGAATGAATGGAATGCCACCAAGTGCGTAAAGGTGTTTTAAGATACTCACGTTCGAATACAGTAATTGTGAACGTGCAAGACCATTCATTTTCACTTGGATCCTTGGCCACATACGTAATATCATATGTTCCTGGAGAGAACACACCTGGTCCGCGAGAAGAAGTGATTTGATATGTCGTGCCGGATTCATCTGTTGCTGTTGGAATTTGCCATGAAATGAATACCTGTGTTTGTCCACGAGGCACAGTCTCATTCAAGTTTGAAGGACAAGTAAAATCTAGAGGGGTGGTGTCAGCTGAAAGATATTGCAAAGGATAATCAATCCAGTTAAACAGAGACACAACCACATTAGTATGACTTTGCTACATAAATTCTAGAGCTACATATGACACTGAACTTAGAAATTATAATTATTAGAAAATAAATCATTTCATGTTTGTTATTCCGAAAGAAAAAACAGTCAGTCCGTCACTCAATATTCTGAAAGCGAGGTCTAGAAAGTAAACGGGTTCCCTTGCATAATTTCAATACACGGACACTGCTTATACGTTTAAATTTCGCAGATAGGACATACGTGACATGTTCATAATTCCGGCAAAATTCTACACAGAATTTGATGTTGGCTGCAAATGGGACACAGTACCTTTAAGTGACTCGGTAACATCGTTGAAGGTTGATTAAAATATTTCGTAATTTTTGTATGAAATGATACTTATAATCTTCCTTCTACTGTACCAACCATTTAACGTGCAAACAATCCTGAAAAAAGTTTAAACATTTTCAAGCCCCTCCTTTTTTTTCTTTTCGTGATGTCATGCAGGCGCCATTTTGTGAAATCACATTATCAATCATATCTTCATGAAGAGTCATCAAAGGTCATTCATATTCATATCACATATACTTTAGGTCAAGGGTCAACAGGTCATGTCATCAAAAGTTACATAAAGGTCACGATGCGCTCGTCAAAATTCAAAAATGCTCAAAATCACAAAACTATTATACGAGAGTACGAATCAGATCATTTTAAGCATTTCAAAAATCTCCACCCGCAGCGCCTACAAAAAGTAAACACGCCGTTTTTTTAGCATGGTTTGCATCAGCACCATTATCATCATCATCATGATCACCATCACGACCATCATCATCATCATCATCACCAAAATTATCATGATCATGATCATTATCTTTATAATCATTATCATGATCATCATTTATTCATCATCATGATCATCAAGGAGTTAATTTCATTATGGTCATGATTTTGATCATAATTATTTCTTGATATTTTGTTCATCAGTTAAGTTATCATTTCAGTTCAGGTCCAATCAGTTCAATCTATCAGTTCATCAGTACTTCATTCATCAGTCCATATCTTAATATATAATATTACATTAACATCATTATATTGGATCATTGAATTGAAGATGAGCATGATCATAAGAATTGAAGACAGACCACCTAATTCGTCCTCATGACGATTTAAATTTCTAGTTATTATTTATTTTTATTTCTCCACTTTTTGTGCACAGGATAACTCAACATCAGTTACTTAGGTCAATTTATTTTAATTTTGGTACAGTCATAGATCATTGTCATAAGACGTGTCATAAAACAACAGAAAATAAAATAAATTTTCAATAATTTATTGCTTTTACCCCGGTTCCCAACATAAACAAATCTTCTGTGTGCCCATGCCTTGAGCCATAATGCATGGCCGTCCAGAGGATTTTTTTTGATGTTGGAGACCGGGGTAAAATGCACTAAATTATTGCAAATTTATTGCATTTTCTGTGTTTTTTTATTGTTGGAAACTGCCCCCTACCCTAGCCCCCGCTGCGTACAGTCATGGTTCAGTGACAAAGCAATGGCCTCGTAACTGTGAGGCCCCAGGATCAAAACCGTGTCGATGTGCGATATAAGTGCCCTTTTGTGGGGCATTAATCCTCATTACTGTCATTTATGACTTAAGGGAATAGGTCCCCTAGTTGATAAGCATAGTAGCATACACATGCTTTAGCTGTCACGCAAAACACAGATTGGCAAATTGTTATTCAATAAAATCTGAGAATGTATACTATTATTTAGATCTATTATCTTTTAATTAATTTGAAAACAATTCCATGAATTGGGGTAAAACAAAAATATTCCACCTTCATGAGCGACAGTGTATTCATTACAATTAATTTCGACGTCTTTTCAAAGAATTAATTATATCATGTGACACTTCCAGTATATTTTATATTATGTTCTAATTTTGTCAAATATGTGAAATTTGAAACAAATAGAACTTGAAAAAAAAAAATTGAAGATTTCCATGAATGAATGGAATGCCACCAAGTGCGTAAAGGTGTTTTAAGATACTCACGTTCGAATACAGTAATTGTGAACGTGCAAGACCATTCATTTTCACTTGGATCCTTGGCCACATACGTAATATCATATGTTCCTGGAGAGAACACACCCGGTCCGCGAGAAGAAGTGATTTGATATGTCGTGCCGGATTCATCTGTTGCTGTTGGAATTTGCCATGAAATGAATACCTGTGTTTGTCCACGAGGCACAGTCTCATTCAAGTTTGAAGGACAAGTAAAATCTAGAGGGGTGGTGTCAGCTGAAAGATATTGCAAAGGATAATCAATCCAGTTAAACAGAGACACAACCACATTAGTATGACTTTGCTACATAAATTCTAGAGCTACATATGACACTGAACTTAGAAATTATAATTATTAGAAAATAAATCATTTCATGTATGCTATTCTGAAAGAAAAAACAGTCAGTCCGTCACTCAATATTCTGAAAGCGAGGTCTAGAAAGTAAACGGGTTCCCTTGCATAATTTCAATACACAGACACTGCTTATACGTTTAAATTTCGCAGATAGGACATACGTGACATGTTCATAATTCCGGCAAAATTCTACACAGAATTTGATGTTGGCTGCAAATGGGACACAGTACCTTTAAGTGACTCGGTAACATCGTTGAAGGTTGATTAAAAAATTTCGGATTTTTTGTATGAAATGATACTTATAATCTTCCTTCTACTGTACCAACCATTTAACGTGCAAACAATCCTGAAAAAAAGTTTAAACATTTTCAAGCCCCTCCTTTTTTTTCTTTGCGTGATGTCATGCAGGCGCCATTTTGTGAAATCACATTATCAATCATATCTTCATGATGAGTCACCAAAGGTCATTCATATTCATATCACATATACTTTAGGTCAAGGGTCAACAGGTCATGTCATCAAAAGTTACATAAAGGTCACGATGCGCTCGTCAAAATTCAAAAATGCTCAAAATCACAAAGCTATTAAACGAGAGTACGAATCAGGTCATTTTAAGCATTTCAAAAATCTCCGCCCGCAGCGCCTACAAAACGTAAACACGCCGTTTTTTAGCATGGTTTGCATCAGCACCATTATCATCATCATCATGATCACCATCACGACCATCATCATCATGATCATCATCACAAAAATTATCATGATCATGATCATTATCTTTATAATCATTATCATGATCATCATCTATTCATCATCATGATCATCAAGGAGTTAATTTCATTATGGTCATGATTTTGATCATAATTATTTCTTGATATTTTGTTCATCAGTTAAGTTATCACTTCAGTTCAGGTCCAATCAGTTCAATCTATCAGTTCATCAGTACTTCATTCATCAGTCCATATCTTAATACATAATACTACATTAACATCATTATATTGGATCATTGAATTGAAGATGAGCATGATCATAAGAATTGAAGACAGACCACCTAATTCGTCCTCATGACGATTTAAATCACTATTTATTATTTATTTTTATTTCTCCACTTTTTGTGACAGGATAACTCAACATCAGTTACTTAGGTCAATTTATTTTAATTTTGGTACAGTCATAGATCATTGTCATATTAGACGTGTCATAAAACAACAGAAAATGAAATAAATTGTCAATAATTTATTGCTTTTACCCCGGTTCCCAGAGGATTTTTTTTGATGTTGGAGACCGGGGTAAAATGCACTAAATTATTGCAAATTTATTGCATTTTCTGTGTTTTTTTTATTTATGGAAACTGCCCCCTACCCTAGCCCCCGCTGCGTACAGTCATGGTTCAGTGACAAAGCAATGGCCTCGTAACTGTGAGGCCCCAGGATCAAAACCGTGTCGATGTGCTATATAAGTGCCCTTTTGTGGGGCATTAATCCTCATTACTGTCATTAATGACTTAAGGGAATAGGTCCCCTAGTTGATAAGCATAGTAGCATACACATGCTTTAGCTGTCACGCAAAACACAGATTGGTAAATTGTTATTCAATAAAATCTGAGAATGTATACTATTATTTAGATCTATTATTTTTTAATTAATTTTAAAACAATTCCATGAATTGGGGTAAAACAAAAATATTCCACCTTTATGAGCGACAGTGTATTCATTACAATTAATTTCGACGTCTTTTCAAAGAATTAATTATATCATGTGACACTTCCAGTATATTTTATATTATGTTCTAATTTTGTCAAATATGTGAAATGTGAAACAAATAATATAGGATTTCCCGGCCAAATTCGCGATTTTGTCATTCAAATTAATTTGTCTTACGTTCAAATTTGACGGTTTTAGTGCAGACAGGTATACCTCGGGTTTATATTCCCTTTTCTAGTTTTCAAATCTATGGAATTTTCGTTAGAATCTACGTATGTTTCATTCAAATTATTGAACAATGTGCTTCTTTCGCTATTTGGTCATTCGATTTGGCGCAACACAATTTTCTGACAACGCGACGGTGTACTTCTAGCATTCTAATTCATTTGTAGCATTCAAATTAGCACTTTGTGCACTTTAATTGATGGTCAATATACATTTCTCGTTTATTACACACTTTTTATAGCTCATTCTTTTTCTTTCAAGATTGTTTTTTCATGTGTATTTCATCATATTTCATTTTCTTGCATTTATACACTTATACTTATTAGATTTATCTGATATTCATCAGCATTTAAGTTTGATTGTTAAGAAGAAAAAAACGACTTGCATCTACGGACCTGATGGTCTCAGTATATTTGTAAATGTGCATGTAAGGAAGTTGTTTGTCTTATGTTTCATCATAAATTTATCATAATTTCATCATAATTTCATTATGGAAGAGGGGTACAATATTGTGACTGGGGTAGGATCTAGAGTCAACAATTTGAACATGATTCATTATTTAGCCATGTCTTTAGCCATCGATCTGCTGGCGGGCAAGTAAACTATGAAAATCTTTAAGAAAAACAGAGGGGTGTGCTGGGTATAAGAGACGATGTGAATTACTTTTGTAAAATTCCGAGTCTGTAGTATACTAAAAAGGGGCGATTGAGGGTACCCCCACCTTTCCCGTGTATATGAACATGTCCGTGCAGAAATGCCATATCCCTTGATTTCGTCCCTTCTTTACTTTATGTCTGACTACATCCATCCAAAATAAATAAATGGAATAACAGCTTAGACCCCAATGACAAATCATGCATTTTAACTGCATTATTTAAAAACTGTAAAAGTTTGTTGCAATTCTTCCCCATAACATTCCTAACTTGAATACAAATATTACGAATATGAATGACAGGTGTTAATTTGAATGATAAAAATTAAGCTTCGACAAGTGAATATTAATTTGAATGCTAGTTGAGCAGTTTCTAAATTGAATGACAGATCTATGAAACCCTTCGACCAAAATCCTAAATTAAATACAAAAACTGGAAAATCGAATGATAATTGGCATGGCAAAGCCGATCTGCGCTAACTTAAATGCAAAGTAAATGAATTCGAATGACAAACACGCGAATTTGGCCGGGAAATCCTATATTGAAAAAAAAAAAAAATTGAAGATTTCCATGAATGAATGGAATGCCACTAAGTGCGTAAGGTGTTTTAAGATACTCACGTTCGAATACAGTAATTGTGAACGTGCAAGACCATTCATTTTCACTTGGATCCTTGGCCACATACGTAATATCATATGTTCCTGGAGAGAACACACCCGGTCCGCGAGAAGAAGTGATTTGATATGTCGTGCCGGATTCATCTGTTGCTGTTGGAATTTGCCATGAAATGAATACCTGTGTTTGTCCACGAGGCACAGTCTCATTCAAGTTTGAAGGACAAGTAAAATCTAGAGGGGTGGTGTCAGCTGAAAGATATTGCAAAGGATAATCAATCCAGTTAAACAGAGACACAACCACATTAGTATGACTTTGCTACATAAATTCTAGAGCTACATATGACACTGAACTTAGAAATTATAATTATTAGAAAATAAATCATTTCATGTATGCTATTCCGAAAGAAAAAAACAGTCAGTCCGTCACTCAATATTCTGAAAGCGAGGTCTCGAAAGTAAACGGGTTCCCTTGCATAATTTCAATACACGGACACTGCTTATACGTTTAAATTTCGCAGATAGGACATACGTGACATGTTCATAATTCCGGCAAAATTCTACACAGAATTTGATGTTGGCTGCAAATGGGACACAGTACCTTTAAGTGACTCGGTAACATCGTTGAAGGTTGATTAAAATATTTCGTAATTTTTGTATGAAATGATACTTATAATCTTCCTTCTACTGTACCAACCATTTAACGTGCAAACAATCCTGAGAAAAGTTTAAACATTTTCAAGCCCCTCCTTTTTTTCTTTTCGTGATGTCATGCAGGCGCCATTTTGTGAAATCACATTATCAATCATATCTTCATGATGAGTCATCAAAGGTCATTCATATTCATATCACATATACTTTAGGTCAAGGGTCAACAGGTCATGTCATCAAAAGTTACATAAAGGTCACGATGCGCTCGTCAAAATTCAAAAATGCTCAAAATCACAAAACTATTAAACGAGAGTACGAATCAGGTCATTTTAAGCATTTCAAAAATCTCCGCCCGCAGCGCCTACAAAACGTAAACACGCCGTTTTTAGCATGGTTTGCATCAGCACCATTATCATCATCATCATGATCACCATCACGACCATCATCATCATGATCATCATCACCAAAATTATCATGATCATGATCATTATCTTTATAATCATTATCATGATCATCATCTATTCATCATCATGATCATCAAGGAGTTAATTTCATTATGGTCATGATTTTGATCATAATTATTTCTTGATATTTTGTTCATCAGTTAAGTTATCACTTCAGTTCAGGTCAATCAGTTCAATCTATCAGTTTATCAGTACTTCATTCATCAGTCCATATCTTAATACATAATATTACATTAACATCATTATATTGGATCATTGAATTGAAGATGAGCATGATCATAAGAATTGAAGACAGACCACCTAATTCGTCCTCATGACGATTTAAATCACTAGTTATTATTTATTTTTATTTCTCCACTTTTTGTGCACAGGATAACTCAACATCAGTTACTTAGGTCAATTTATTTTAATTTTGGTACAGTCATAGATCATTGTCATAAGACGTGTCATAAAACAACAGAAAATGAAATAAATTGTCAATAATTTATTGCTTTTACCCCGGTTCCCAACATAAACAAATCTTCTGTGTGCCCATGCCTTGAGCCATAATGCATGGCCGTCCAGAGGATTTTTTTTGATGTTGGAGACCGGGGTAAAATGCACTAAATTATTGCAAATTTATTGCATTTTCTGTTTTTTTTTTATTGTTGGAAACTGCCCCCTACCCTAGCCCCCGCTGCGTACAGTCATGGTTCAGTGACAAAGCAATGGCCTCGTAACTGTGAGGCCCCAGGATCAAAACCGTGTCGATGTGCTATATAAGTGCCCTTTTGTGGGGCATTAATCCTCATTACTGTCATTTATGACTTAAGGGAATAGGTCCCCTAGTTGATAAGCATAGTAGCATACACATGCTTTAGCTGTCACGCAAAACATAGATTGGCAAATTGTTATTCAATAAAATCTGAGAATTTATACTATTATTTAGACCTATTATTTTTTAATTAATTTTAAAACAATTTTATAAATTGGGGTAAAAAAAAATATTCCACCTTTATGAGCGACAGTGTATTCATTACAATTAATTTCGACGTCTTTTCAAAGAATTAATTATATCATGTGACACTTTTAGTATATTTTATATTATGTTCTAATTTTGTCAATTATGTGAAATGTGAAACAAATAAAACTTGAAAAAAAAAAACTTGAAGATTCCCATGAATGAATGGAATGCCACCAAGTGCGTAAAGGTGTTTTAAGATACTCACGTTCGAATACAGTAATTGTGAACGTGCAAGACCATTCATTTTCACTTGGATCCTTGGCCACATACGTAATATCATATGTTCCTGGAGAGAACACACCTGGTCCGCGAGAAGAAGTGATTTGATATGTCGTGCCGGATTCATCTGTTGCTGTTGGAATTTGCCATGAAATGAATACCTGTGTTTGTCCACGAGGCACAGTCTCATTCAAGTTTGAAGGACAAGTAAAATCTAGAGGGGTGGTGTCAGCTGAAAGATATTGCAAAGGATAATCAATCCAGTTAAACAGAGACACAACCACATTAGTATGACTTTGCTACATAAATTCTAGAGCTACATATGACACTGAACTTAGAAATTATAATTATTAGAAAATAAATCATTTCATGTTTGTTATTCCGAAAGAAAAAACAGTCAGTCCGTCACTCAATATTCTGAAAGCGAGGTCTAGAAAGTAAACGGGTTCCCTTGCATAATTTCAATACACGGACACTGCTTATACGTTTAAATTTCGCAGATAGGACATACGTGACATGTTCATAATTCCGGCAAAATTCTACACAGAATTTGATGTTGGCTGCAAATGGGACACAGTACCTTTAAGTGACTCGGTAACATCGTTGAAGGTTGATTAAAATATTTCGTAATTTTTGTATGAAATGATACTTATAATCTTCCTTCTACTGTACCAACCATTTAACGTGCAAACAATCCTGAAAAAAGTTTAAACATTTTCAAGCCCCTCCTTTTTTTTCTTTTCGTGATGTCATGCAGGCGCCATTTTGTGAAATCACATTATCAATCATATCTTCATGAAGAGTCATCAAAGGTCATTCATATTCATATCACATATACTTTAGGTCAAGGGTCAACAGGTCATGTCATCAAAAGTTACATAAAGGTCACGATGCGCTCGTCAAAATTCAAAAATGCTCAAAATCACAAAACTATTATACGAGAGTACGAATCAGATCATTTTAAGCATTTCAAAAATCTCCACCCGCAGCGCCTACAAAAAGTAAACACGCCGCTTTTTTAGCATGGTTTGCATCAGCACCATTATCATCATCATCATGATCACCATCACGACCATCATCATCATCATCATCACCAAAATTATCATGATCATGATCATTATCTTTATAATCATTATCATGATCATCATCTATTCATCATCATGATCATCAAGGAGTTAATTTCATTATGGTCATGATTTTGATCATAATTATTTCTTGATATTTTGTTCATCAGTTAAGTTATCATTTCAGTTCAGGTCCAATCAGTTCAATCTATCAGTTCATCAGTACTTCATTCATCAGTCCATATCTTAATATATAATATTACATTAACATCATTATATTGGATCATTGAATTGAAGATGAGCATGATCATAAGAATTGAAGACAGACCACCTAATTCGTCCTCATGACGATTTAAATTTCTAGTTATTATTTATTTTTATTTCTCCACTTTTTGTGCACAGGATAACTCAACATCAGTTACTTAGGTCAATTTATTTTAATTTTGGTACAGTCATAGATCATTGTCATAAGACGTGTCATAAAACAACAGAAAATGAAATAAATTGTCAATAATTTATTGCTTTTACCCCGGTTCCCAACATAAACAAATCTTCTGTGTGCCCATTCCTTGAGCCATAATGCATGGCCGTCCAGAGGATTTTTTTTGATGTTGGAGACCGGGGTAAAATGCACTAAATTATTGCAAATTTATTGCATTTTCTGTTTTTTTTTTATTGTTGGAAACTGCCCCCTACCCTAGCCCCCGCTGCGTACAGTCATGGTTCAGTGACAAAGCAATGGCCTCGTAACTGTGAGGCCCCAGGATCAAAACCGTGTCGATGTGCTATATAAGTGCCCTTTTGTGGGGCATTAATCCTCATTACTGTCATTTATGACTTAAGGGAATAGGTCCCCTAGTTGATAAGCATAGTAGCATACACATGCTTTAGCTGTCACGCAAAACATAGATTGGCAAATTGTTATTCAATAAAATCTGAGAATTTATACTATTATTTAGACCTATTATTTTTTAATTAATTTTAAAACAATTTTATAAATTGGGGAAAAAAAAAAATATTCCACCTTTATGAGCGACAGTGTATTCATTACAATTAATTTCGACGTCTTTTCAAAGAATTAATTATATCATGTGACACTTTTAGTATATTTTATATTATGTTCTAATTTTGTCAATTATGTGAAATGTGAAACAAATAAAACTTGAAAAAAAAAAACTTGAAGATTCCCATGAATGAATGGAATGCCACCAAGTGCGTAAAGGTGTTTTAAGATACTCACGTTCGAATACAGTAATTGTGAACGTGCAAGACCATTCATTTTCACTTGGATCCTTGGCCACATACGTAATATCATATGTTCCTGGAGAGAACACACCTGGTCCGCGAGAAGAAGTGATTTGATATGTCGTGCCGGATTCATCTGTTGCTGTTGGAATTTGCCATGAAATGAATACCTGTGTTTGTCCACGAGGCACAGTCTCATTCAAGTTTGAAGGACAAGTAAAATCTAGAGGGGTGGTGTCAGCTGAAAGATATTGCAAAGGATAATCAATCCAGTTAAACAGAGACACAACCACATTAGTATGACTTTGCTACATAAATTCTAGAGCTACATATGACACTGAACTTAGAAATTATAATTATTAGAAAATAAATCATTTCATGTTTGTTATTCCGAAAGAAAAAACAGTCAGTCCGTCACTCAATATTCTGAAAGCGAGGTCTAGAAAGTAAACGGGTTCCCTTGCATAATTTCAATACACGGACACTGCTTATACGTTTAAATTTCGCAGATAGGACATACGTGACATGTTCATAATTCCGGCAAAATTCTACACAGAATTTGATGTTGGCTGCAAATGGGACACAGTACCTTTAAGTGACTCGGTAACATCGTTGAAGGTTGATTAAAATATTTCGTAATTTTTGTATGAAATGATACTTATAATCTTCCTTCTACTGTACCAACCATTTAACGTGCAAACAATCCTGAAAAAAGTTTAAACATTTTCAAGCCCCTCCTTTTTTTTCTTTTCGTGATGTCATGCAGGCGCCATTTTGTGAAATCACATTATCAATCATATCTTCATGAAGAGTCATCAAAGGTCATTCATATTCATATCACATATACTTTAGGTCAAGGGTCAACAGGTCATGTCATCAAAAGTTACATAAAGGTCACGATGCGCTCGTCAAAATTCAAAAATGCTCAAAATCACAAAACTATTATACGAGAGTACGAATCAGATCATTTTAAGCATTTCAAAAATCTCCACCCGCAGCGCCTACAAAAAGTAAACACGCCGTTTTTTAGCATGGTTTGCATCAGCACCATTATCATCATCATCATGATCACCATCACGACCATCATCATCATCATCATCACCAAAATTATCATGATCATGATCATTATCTTTATAATCATTATCATGATCATCATCTATTCATCATCATGATCATCAAGGAGTTAATTTCATTATGGTCATGATTTTGATCATAATTATTTCTTGATATTTTGTTCATCAGTTAAGTTATCATTTCAGTTCAGGTCCAATCAGTTCAATCTATCAGTTCATCAGTACTTCATTCATCAGTCCATATCTTAATATATAATATTACATTAACATCATTATATTGGATCATTGAATTGAAGATGAGCATGATCATAAGAATTGAAGACAGACCACCTAATTCGTCCTCATGACGATTTAAATTTCTAGTTATTATTTATTTTTATTTCTCCACTTTTTGTGCACAGGATAACTCAACATCAGTTACTTAGGTCAATTTATTTTAATTTTGGTACAGTCATAGATCATTGTCATAAGACGTGTCATAAAACAACAGAAAATGAAATAAATTGTCAATAATTTATTGCTTTTACCCCGGTTCCCAACATAAACAAATCTTCTGTGTGCCCATTCCTTGAGCCATAATGCATGGCCGTCCAGAGGATTTTTTTTGATGTTGGAGACCGGGGTAAAATGCACTAAATTATTGCAAATTTATTGCATTTTCTGTTTTTTTTTTTATTGTTGGAAACTGCCCCCTACCCTAGCCCCCGCTGCGTACAGTCATGGTTCAGTGACAAAGCAATGGCCTCGTAACTGTGAGGCCCCAGGATCAAAACCGTGTCGATGTGCTATATAAGTGCCCTTTTGTGGGGCATTAATCCTCATTACTGTCATTTATGACTTAAGGGAATAGGTCCCCTAGTTGATAAGCATAGTAGCATACACATGCTTTAGCTGTCACGCAAAACATAGATTGGCAAATTGTTATTCAATAAAATCTGAGAATTTATACTATTATTTAGACCTATTATTTTTTAATTAATTTTAAAACAATTTTATAAATTGGGGTAAAAAAAAAATATTCCACCTTTATGAGCGACAGTGTATTCATTACAATTAATTTCGACGTCTTTTCAATGAATTAATTATATCATGTGACACTTTTAGTATATTTTATATTATGTTCTAATTTTGTCAATTATGTGAAATGTGAAACAAATAAAACTTGAAAAAAAAAAACTTGAAGATTCCCATGAATGAATGGAATGCCACCAAGTGCGTAAAGGTGTTTTAAGATACTCACGTTCGAATACAGTAATTGTGAACGTGCAAGACCATTCATTTTCACTTGGATCCTTGGCCACATACGTAATATCATATGTTCCTGGAGAGAACACACCTGGTCCGCGAGAAGAAGTGATTTGATATGTCGTGCCGGATTCATCTGTTGCTGTTGGAATTTGCCATGAAATGAATACCTGTGTTTGTCCACGAGGCACAGTCTCATTCAAGTTTGAAGGACAAGTAAAATCTAGAGGGGTGGTGTCAGCTGAAAGATATTGCAAAGGATAATCAATCCAGTTAAACAGAGACACAACCACATTAGTATGACTTTGCTACATAAATTCTAGAGCTACATATGACACTGAACTTAGAAATTATAATTATTAGAAAATAAATCATTTCATGTTTGTTATTCCGAAAGAAAAAACAGTCAGTCCGTCACTCAATATTCTGAAAGCGAGGTCTAGAAAGTAAACGGGTTCCCTTGCATAATTTCAATACACGGACACTGCTTATACGTTTAAATTTCGCAGATAGGACATACGTGACATGTTCATAATTCCGGCAAAATTCTACACAGAATTTGATGTTGGCTGCAAATGGGACACAGTACCTTTAAGTGACTCGGTAACATCGTTGAAGGTTGATTAAAATATTTCGTAATTTTTGTATGAAATGATACTTATAATCTTCCTTCTACTGTACCAACCATTTAACGTGCAAACAATCCTGAAAAAAGTTTAAACATTTTCAAGCCCCTCCTTTTTTTTCTTTTCGTGATGTCATGCAGGCGCCATTTTGTGAAATCACATTATCAATCATATCTTCATGAAGAGTCATCAAAGGTCATTCATATTCATATCACATATACTTTAGGTCAAGGGTCAACAGGTCATGTCATCAAAAGTTACATAAAGGTCACGATGCGCTCGTCAAAATTCAAAAATGCTCAAAATCACAAAACTATTATACGAGAGTACGAATCAGATCATTTTAAGCATTTCAAAAATCTCCACCCGCAGCGCCTACAAAAAGTAAACACGCCGTTTTTTTAGCATGGTTTGCATCAGCACCATTATCATCATCATCATGATCACCATCACGACCATCATCATCATCATCATCACCAAAATTATCATGATCATGATCATTATCTTTATAATCATTATCATGATCATCATTTATTCATCATCATGATCATCAAGGAGTTAATTTCATTATGGTCATGATTTTGATCATAATTATTTCTTGATATTTTGTTCATCAGTTAAGTTATCATTTCAGTTCAGGTCCAATCAGTTCAATCTATCAGTTCATCAGTACTTCATTCATCAGTCCATATCTTAATATATAATATTACATTAACATCATTATATTGGATCATTGAATTGAAGATGAGCATGATCATAAGAATTGAAGACAGACCACCTAATTCGTCCTCATGACGATTTAAATTTCTAGTTATTATTTATTTTTATTTCTCCACTTTTTGTGCACAGGATAACTCAACATCAGTTACTTAGGTCAATTTATTTTAATTTTGGTACAGTCATAGATCATTGTCATAAGACGTGTCATAAAACAACAGAAAATAAAATAAATTGTCAATAATTTATTGCTTTTACCCCGGTTCCCAACATAAACAAATCTTCTGTGTGCCCATTCCTTGAGCCATAATGCATGGCCGTCCAGAGGATTTTTTTTGATGTTGGAGACCGGGGTAAAATGCACTAAATTATTGCAAATTTATTGCATTTTCTGTTTTTTTTTTATTGTTGGAAACTGCCCCCTACCCTAGCCCCCGCTGCGTACAGTCATGGTTCAGTGACAAAGCAATGGCCTCGTAACTGTGAGGCCCCAGGATCAAAACCGTGTCGATGTGCTATATAAGTGCCCTTTTGTGGGGCATTAATCCTCATTACTGTCATTTATGACTTAAGGGAATAGGTCCCCTAGTTGATAAGCATAGTAGCATACACATGCTTTAGCTGTCACGCAAAACATAGATTGGCAAATTGTTATTCAATAAAATCTGAGAATTTATACTATTATTTAGACCTATTATTTTTTAATTAATTTTAAAACAATTTTATAAATTGGGGTAAAAAAAAAATATTCCACCTTTATGAGCGACAGTGTATTCATTACAATTAATTTCGACGTCTTTTCAAAGAATTAATTATATCATGTGACACTTTTAGTATATTTTATATTATGTTCTAATTTTGTCAATTATGTGAAATGTGAAACAAATAAAACTTGAAAAAAAAAAACTTGAAGATTCCCATGAATGAATGGAATGCCACCAAGTGCGTAAAGGTGTTTTAAGATACTCACGTTCGAATACAGTAATTGTGAACGTGCAAGACCATTCATTTTCACTTGGATCCTTGGCCACATACGTAATATCATATGTTCCTGGAGAGAACACACCTGGTCCGCGAGAAGAAGTGATTTGATATGTCGTGCCGGATTCATCTGTTGCTGTTGGAATTTGCCATGAAATGAATACCTGTGTTTGTCCACGAGGCACAGTCTCATTCAAGTTTGAAGGACAAGTAAAATCTAGAGGGGTGGTGTCAGCTGAAAGATATTGCAAAGGATAATCAATCCAGTTAAACAGAGACACAACCACATTAGTATGACTTTGCTACATAAATTCTAGAGCTACATATGACACTGAACTTAGAAATTATAATTATTAGAAAATAAATCATTTCATGTTTGTTATTCCGAAAGAAAAAACAGTCAGTCCGTCACTCAATATTCTGAAAGCGAGGTCTAGAAAGTAAACGGGTTCCCTTGCATAATTTCAATACACGGACACTGCTTATACGTTTAAATTTCGCAGATAGGACATACGTGACATGTTCATAATTCCGGCAAAATTCTACACAGAATTTGATGTTGGCTGCAAATGGGACACAGTACCTTTAAGTGACTCGGTAACATCGTTGAAGGTTGATTAAAATATTTCGTAATTTTTGTATGAAATGATACTTATAATCTTCCTTCTACTGTACCAACCATTTAACGTGCAAACAATCCTGAAAAAAGTTTAAACATTTTCAAGCCCCTCCTTTTTTTTCTTTTCGTGATGTCATGCAGGCGCCATTTTGTGAAATCACATTATCAATCATATCTTCATGAAGAGTCATCAAAGGTCATTCATATTCATATCACATATACTTTAGGTCAAGGGTCAACAGGTCATGTCATCAAAAGTTACATAAAGGTCACGATGCGCTCGTCAAAATTCAAAAATGCTCAAAATCACAAAACTATTATACGAGAGTACGAATCAGATCATTTTAAGCATTTCAAAAATCTCCACCCGCAGCGCCTACAAAAAGTAAACACGCCGTTTTTTTAGCATGGTTTGCATCAGCACCATTATCATCATCATCATGATCACCATCACGACCATCATCATCATCATCATCACCAAAATTATCATGATCATGATCATTATCTTTATAATCATTATCATGATCATCATCTATTCATCATCATGATCATCAAGGAGTTAATTTCATTATGGTCATGATTTTGATCATAATTATTTCTTGATATTTTGTTCATCAGTTAAGTTATCATTTCAGTTCAGGTCCAATCAGTTCAATCTATCAGTTCATCAGTACTTCATTCATCAGTCCATATCTTAATATATAATATTACATTAACATCATTATATTGGATCATTGAATTGAAGATGAGCATGATCATAAGAATTGAAGACAGACCACCTAATTCGTCCTCATGACGATTTAAATTTCTAGTTATTATTTATTTTTATTTCTCCACTTTTTGTGCACAGGATAACTCAACATCAGTTACTTAGGTCAATTTATTTTAATTTTGGTACAGTCATAGATCATTGTCATAAGACGTGTCATAAAACAACAGAAAATGAAATAAATTGTCAATAATTTATTGCTTTTACCCCGGTTCCCAACATAAACAAATCTTCTGTGTGCCCATTCCTTGAGCCATAATGCATGGCCGTCCAGAGGATTTTTTTTGATGTTGGAGACCGGGGTAAAATGCACTAAATTATTGCAAATTTATTGCATTTTCTGTTTTTTTTTTTATTGTTGGAAACTGCCCCCTACCCTAGCCCCCGCTGCGTACAGTCATGGTTCAGTGACAAAGCAATGGCCTCGTAACTGTGAGGCCCCAGGATCAAAACCGTGTCGATGTGCTATATAAGTGCCCTTTTGTGGGGCATTAATCCTCATTACTGTCATTTATGACTTAAGGGAATAGGTCCCCTAGTTGATAAGCATAGTAGCATACACATGCTTTAGCTGTCACGCAAAACATAGATTGGCAAATTGTTATTCAATAAAATCTGAGAATTTATACTATTATTTAGACCTATTATTTTTTAATTAATTTTAAAACAATTTTATAAATTGGGGTAAAAAAAAAATATTCCACCTTTATGAGCGACAGTGTATTCATTACAATTAATTTCGACGTCTTTTCAAAGAATTAATTATATCATGTGACACTTTTAGTATATTTTATATTATGTTCTAATTTTGTCAATTATGTGAAATGTGAAACAAATAAAACTTGAAAAAAAAAACTTGAAGATTCCCATGAATGAATGGAATGCCACCAAGTGCGTAAAGGTGTTTTAAGATACTCACGTTCGAATACAGTAATTGTGAACGTGCAAGACCATTCATTTTCACTTGGATCCTTGGCCACATACGTAATATCATATGTTCCTGGAGAGAACACACCTGGTCCGCGAGAAGAAGTGATTTGATATGTCGTGCCGGATTCATCTGTTGCTGTTGGAATTTGCCATGAAATGAATACCTGTGTTTGTCCACGAGGCACAGTCTCATTCAAGTTTGAAGGACAAGTAAAATCTAGAGGGGTGGTGTCAGCTGAAAGATATTGCAAAGGATAATCAATCCAGTTAAACAGAGACACAACCACATTAGTATGACTTTGCTACATAAATTCTAGAGCTACATATGACACTGAACTTAGAAATTATAATTATTAGAAAATAAATCATTTCATGTTTGTTATTCCGAAAGAAAAAACAGTCAGTCCGTCACTCAATATTCTGAAAGCGAGGTCTAGAAAGTAAACGGGTTCCCTTGCATAATTTCAATACACGGACACTGCTTATACGTTTAAATTTCGCAGATAGGACATACGTGACATGTTCATAATTCCGGCAAAATTCTACACAGAATTTGATGTTGGCTGCAAATGGGACACAGTACCTTTAAGTGACTCGGTAACATCGTTGAAGGTTGATTAAAATATTTCGTAATTTTTGTATGAAATGATACTTATAATCTTCCTTCTACTGTACCAACCATTTAACGTGCAAACAATCCTGAAAAAAGTTTAAACATTTTCAAGCCCCTCCTTTTTTTTCTTTTCGTGATGTCATGCAGGCGCCATTTTGTGAAATCACATTATCAATCATATCTTCATGAAGAGTCATCAAAGGTCATTCATATTCATATCACATATACTTTAGGTCAAGGGTCAACAGGTCATGTCATCAAAAGTTACATAAAGGTCACGATGCGCTCGTCAAAATTCAAAAATGCTCAAAATCACAAAACTATTATACGAGAGTACGAATCAGATCATTTTAAGCATTTCAAAAATCTCCACCCGCAGCGCCTACAAAAAGTAAACACGCCGTTTTTTTAGCATGGTTTGCATCAGCACCATTATCATCATCATCATGATCACCATCACGACCATCATCATCATCATCATCACCAAAATTATCATGATCATGATCATTATCTTTATAATCATTATCATGATCATCATTTATTCATCATCATGATCATCAAGGAGTTAATTTCATTATGGTCATGATTTTGATCATAATTATTTCTTGATATTTTGTTCATCAGTTAAGTTATCATTTCAGTTCAGGTCCAATCAGTTCAATCTATCAGTTCATCAGTACTTCATTCATCAGTCCATATCTTAATATATAATATTACATTAACATCATTATATTGGATCATTGAATTGAAGATGAGCATGATCATAAGAATTGAAGACAGACCACCTAATTCGTCCTCATGACGATTTAAATTTCTAGTTATTATTTATTTTTATTTCTCCACTTTTTGTGCACAGGATAACTCAACATCAGTTACTTAGGTCAATTTATTTTAATTTTGGTACAGTCATAGATCATTGTCATAAGACGTGTCATAAAACAACAGAAAATAAAATAAATTTCAATAATTTATTGCTTTTACCCCGGTTCCCAACATAAACAAATCTTCTGTGTGCCCATTCCTTGAGCCATAATGCATGGCCGTCCAGAGGATTTTTTTTGATGTTGGAGACCGGGGTAAAATGCACTAAATTATTGCAAATTTATTGCATTTTCTGTTTTTTTTTTATTGTTGGAAACTGCCCCCTACCCTAGCCCCCGCTGCGTACAGTCATGGTTCAGTGACAAAGCAATGGCCTCGTAACTGTGAGGCCCCAGGATCAAAACCGTGTCGATGTGCTATATAAGTGCCCTTTTGTGGGGCATTAATCCTCATTACTGTCATTTATGACTTAAGGGAATAGGTCCCCTAGTTGATAAGCATAGTAGCATACACATGCTTTAGCTGTCACGCAAAACATAGATTGGCAAATTGTTATTCAATAAAATCTGAGAATTTATACTATTATTTAGACCTATTATTTTTTAATTAATTTTAAAACAATTTTATAAATTGGGGTAAAAAAAAATATTCCACCTTTATGAGCGACAGTGTATTCATTACAATTAATTTCGACGTCTTTTCAAAGAATTAATTATATCATGTGACACTTTTAGTATATTTTATATTATGTTCTAATTTTGTCAATTATGTGAAATGTGAAACAAATAAAACTTGAAAAAAAAAACTTGAAGATTCCCATGAATGAATGGAATGCCACCAAGTGCGTAAAGGTGTTTTAAGATACTCACGTTCGAATACAGTAATTGTGAACGTGCAAGACCATTCATTTTCACTTGGATCCTTGGCCACATACGTAATATCATATGTTCCTGGAGAGAACACACCTGGTCCGCGAGAAGAAGTGATTTGATATGTCGTGCCGGATTCATCTGTTGCTGTTGGAATTTGCCATGAAATGAATACCTGTGTTTGTCCACGAGGCACAGTCTCATTCAAGTTTGAAGGACAAGTAAAATCTAGAGGGGTGGTGTCAGCTGAAAGATATTGCAAAGGATAATCAATCCAGTTAAACAGAGACACAACCACATTAGTATGACTTTGCTACATAAATTCTAGAGCTACATATGACACTGAACTTAGAAATTATAATTATTAGAAAATAAATCATTTCATGTTTGTTATTCCGAAAGAAAAAACAGTCAGTCCGTCACTCAATATTCTGAAAGCGAGGTCTAGAAAGTAAACGGGTTCCCTTGCATAATTTCAATACACGGACACTGCTTATACGTTTAAATTTCGCAGATAGGACATACGTGACATGTTCATAATTCCGGCAAAATTCTACACAGAATTTGATGTTGGCTGCAAATGGGACACAGTACCTTTAAGTGACTCGGTAACATCGTTGAAGGTTGATTAAAATATTTCGTAATTTTTGTATGAAATGATACTTATAATCTTCCTTCTACTGTACCAACCATTTAACGTGCAAACAATCCTGAAAAAAGTTTAAACATTTTCAAGCCCCTCCTTTTTTTTCTTTTCGTGATGTCATGCAGGCGCCATTTTGTGAAATCACATTATCAATCATATCTTCATGATGAGTCATCAAAGGTCATTCATATTCATATCACATATACTTTAGGTCAAGGGTCAACAGGTCATGTCATCAAAAGTTACATAAAGGTCACGATGCGCTCGTCAAAATTCAAAAATGCTCAAAATCACAAAACTATTAAACGAGAGTACGAATCAGGTCATTTTAAGCATTTCAAAAATCTCCGCCCGCAGCGCCTACAAAACGTAAACACGCCGTTTTTTTAGCATGGTTTGCATCAGCACCATTATCATCATCATCATGATCACCATCACGACCATCATCATCATCATCATCACCAAAATTATCATGATCATGATCATTATCTTTATAATCATTATCATGATCATCATTTATTCATCATCATGATCATCAAGGAGTTAATTTCATTATGGTCATGATTTTGATCATAATTATTTCTTGATATTTTGTTCATCAGTTAAGTTATCATTTCAGTTCAGGTCCAATCAGTTCAATCTATCAGTTCATCAGTACTTCATTCATCAGTCCATATCTTAATATATAATATTACATTAACATCATTATATTGGATCATTGAATTGAAGATGAGCATGATCATAAGAATTGAAGACAGACCACCTAATTCGTCCTCATGACGATTTAAATTTCTAGTTATTATTTATTTTTATTTCTCCACTTTTTGTGCACAGGATAACTCAACATCAGTTACTTAGGTCAATTTATTTTAATTTTGGTACAGTCATAGATCATTGTCATAAGACGTGTCATAAAACAACAGAAAATAAAATAAATTTTCAATAATTTATTGCTTTTACCCCGGTTCCCAACATAAACAAATCTTCTGTGTGCCCATGCCTTGAGCCATAATGCATGGCCGTCCAGAGGATTTTTTTTGATGTTGGAGACCGGGGTAAAATGCACTAAATTATTGCAAATTTATTGCATTTTCTGTGTTTTTTTATTGTTGGAAACTGCCCCCTACCCTAGCCCCCGCTGCGTACAGTCATGGTTCAGTGACAAAGCAATGGCCTCGTAACTGTGAGGCCCCAGGATCAAAACCGTGTCGATGTGCGATATAAGTGCCCTTTTGTGGGGCATTAATCCTCATTACTGTCATTTATGACTTAAGGGAATAGGTCCCCTAGTTGATAAGCATAGTAGCATACACATGCTTTAGCTGTCACGCAAAACACAGATTGGCAAATTGTTATTCAATAAAATCTGAGAATGTATACTATTATTTAGATCTATTATTTTTTAATTAATTTGAAAACAATTCCATGAATTGGGGTAAAACAAAAATATTCCACCTTCATGAGCGACAGTGTATTCATTACAATTAATTTCGACGTCTTTTCAAAGAATTAATTATATCATGTGACACTTCCAGTATATTTTATATTATGTTCTAATTTTGTCAAATATGTGAAATGTGAAACAAATAGAACTTGAAAAAAAAATTGAAGATTTCCATGAATGAATGGAATGCCACCAAGTGCGTAAAGGTGTTTTAAGATACTCACGTTCGAATACAGTAATTGTGAACGTGCAAGACCATTCATTTTCACTTGGATCCTTGGCCACATACGTAATATCATATGTTCCTGGAGAGAACACACCCGGTCCGCGAGAAGAAGTGATTTGATATGTCGTGCCGGATTCATCTGTTGCTGTTGGAATTTGCCATGAAATGAATACCTGTGTTTGTCCACGAGGCACAGTCTCATTCAAGTTTGAAGGACAAGTAAAATCTAGAGGGGTGGTGTCAGCTGAAAGATATTGCAAAGGATAATCAATCCAGTTAAACAGAGACACAACCACATTAGTATGACTTTGCTACATAAATTCTAGAGCTACATATGACACTGAACTTAGAAATTATAATTATTAGAAAATAAATCATTTCATGTATGCTATTCTGAAAGAAAAAACAGTCAGTCCGTCACTCAATATTCTGAAAGCGAGGTCTCGAAAGTAAACGGGTTCCCTTGCATAATTTCAATACACAGACACTGCTTATACGTTTAAATTTCGCAGATAGGACATACGTGACATGTTCATAATTCCGGCAAAATTCTACACAGAATTTGATGTTGGCTGCAAATGGGACACAGTACCTTTAAGTGACTCGGTAACATCGTTGAAGGTTGATTAAAAAATTTCGGATTTTTTGTATGAAATGATACTTATAATCTTCCTTCTACTGTACCAACCATTTAACGTGCAAACAATCCTGAAAAAAAGTTAAAACATTTTCAAGCCCCTCCTTTTTTTCTTTGCGTGATGTCATGCAGGCGCCATTTTGTGAAATCACATTATCAATCATATCTTCATGATGAGTCACCAAAGGTCATTCATATTCATATCACATATACTTTAGGTCAAGGGTCAACAGGTCATGTCATCAAAAGTTACATAAAGGTCACGATGCGCTCGTCAAAATTCAAAAATGCTCAAAATCACAAAACTATTAAACGAGAGTACGAATCAGGTCATTTTAAGCATTTCAAAAATCTCCGCCCGCAGCGCCTACAAAACGTAAACACGCCGTTTTTTAGCATGGTTTGCATCAGCACCATTATCATCATCATCATGATCACCATCACGACCATCATCATCATGATCATCATCACAAAAATTATCATGATCATGATCATTATCTTTATAATCATTATCATGATCATCATCTATTCATCATCATGATCATCAAGGAGTTAATTTCATTATGGTCATGATTTTGATCATAATTATTTCTTGATATTTTGTTCATCAGTTAAGTTATCACTTCAGTTCAGGTCCAATCAGTTCAATCTATCAGTTCATCAGTACTTCATTCATCAGTCCATATCTTAATACATAATACTACATTAACATCATTATATTGGATCATTGAATTGAAGATGAGCATGATCATAAGAATTGAAGACAGACCACCTAATTCGTCCTCATGACGATTTAAATCACTATTTATTATTTATTTTTATTTCTCCACTTTTTGTGACAGGATAACTCAACATCAGTTACTTAGGTCAATTTATTTTAATTTTGGTACAGTCATAGATCATTGTCATAAGACGTGTCATAAAACAACAGAAAATGAAATAAATTGTCAATAATTTATTGCTTTTACCCCGGTTCCCAGAGGATTTTTTTTTATGTTGGAGACCGGGGTAAAATGCACTAAATTATTGCAAATTTATTGCATTTTCTGTGTTTTTTTTATTTATGGAAACTGCCCCCTACCCTAGCCCCCGCTGCGTACAGTCATGGTTCAGTGACAAAGCAATGGCCTCGTAACTGTGAGGCCCCAGGATCAAAACCGTGTCGATGTGCTATATAAGTGCCCTTTTGTGGGGCATTAATCCTCATTACTGTCATTAATGACTTAAGGGAATAGGTCCCCTAGTTGATAAGCATAGTAGCATACACATGCTTTAGCTGTCACGCAAAACACAGATTGGTAAATTGTTATTCAATAAAATCTGAGAATGTATACTATTATTTAGATCTATTATTTTTTAATTAATTTTAAAACAATTCCATGAATTGGGGTAAAACAAAAATATTCCACCTTTATGAGCGACAGTGTATTCATTACAATTAATTTCGACGTCTTTTCAAAGAATTAATTATATCATGTGACACTTCCAGTATATTTTATATTATGTTCTAATTTTGTCAAATATGTGAAATGTGAAACAAATAATATAGGATTTCCCGGCCAAATTCGCGATTTTGTCATTCAAATTAATTTGTCTTACGTTCAAATTCGACGGTTTTAGTGCAGACAGGTATACCTCGGGTTTATATTCCCTTTTCTAGTTTTCAAATCTATGGAATTTTCGTTAGAATCTACGTATGTTTCATTCAAATTATTGAACAATGTGCTTCTTTCGCTATTTGGTCATTCGATTTGGCGCAACACAATTTTCTGACAACGCGACGGTGTACTTCTAGCATTCTAATTCATTTGTAGCATTCAAATTAGCACTTTGTGCACTTTAATTGATGGTCAATATACATTTCTCGTTTATTACACACTTTTTATAGCTCATTCTTTTTCTTTCAAGATTGTTTTTTCATGTGTATTTCATCATATTTCATTTTCTTGCATTTATACACTTATACTTATTAGATTTATCTGATATTCATCAGCATTTAAGTTTGATTGTTAAGAAGAAAAAAACGACTTGCATCTACGGACCTGATGGTCTCAGTATATTTGTAAATGTGCATGTAAGGAAGTTGTTTGTCTTATGTTTCATCATAAATTTATCATAATTTCATCATAATTTCATTATGGAAGAGGGGTACAATATTGTGACTGGGGTAGGATCTAGAGTCAACAATTTGAACATGATTCATTATTTAGCCATGTCTTTAGCCATCGATCTGCTGGCGGGCAAGTAAACTATGAAAATCTTTAAGAAAAACAGAGGGGTGTGCTGGGTATAAGAGACGATGTGAATTACTTTTGTAAAATTCCGAGTCTGTAGTATACTAAAAAGGGGCGATTGAGGGTACCCCCACCTTTCCCGTGTATATGAACATGTCCGTGCAGAAATGCCATATCCCTTGATTTCGTCCCTTCTTTACTTTATGTCTGACTACATCCATCCAAAATAAATAAATGGAATAACAGCTTAGACCCCAATGACAAATCATGCATTTTAACTGCATTATTTAAAAACTGTAAAAGTTTGTTGCAATTCTTCCCCATAACATTCCTAACTTGAATACAAATATTACGAATATGAATGACAGGTGTTAATTTGAATGATAAAAATTAAGCTTCGACAAGTGAATATTAATTTGAATGCTAGTTGAGCAGTTTCTAAATTGAATGACAGATCTATGAAACCCTTCGACCAAAATCCTAAATTAAATACAAAAACTGGAAAATCGAATGATAATTGGCATGGCAAAGCCGATCTGCGCTAACTTAAATGCAAAGTAAATGAATTCGAATGACAAACACGCGAATTTGGCCGGGAAATCCTATATTGAAAAAAAAAAAAATTGAAGATTTCCATGAATGAATGGAATGCCACTAAGTGCGTAAGGTGTTTTAAGATACTCACGTTCGAATACAGTAATTGTGAACGTGCAAGACCATTCATTTTCACTTGGATCCTTGGCCACATACGTAATATCATATGTTCCTGGAGAGAACACACCCGGTCCGCGAGAAGAAGTGATTTGATATGTCGTGCCGGATTCATCTGTTGCTGTTGGAATTTGCCATGAAATGAATACCTGTGTTTGTCCACGAGGCACAGTCTCATTCAAGTTTGAAGGACAAGTAAAATCTAGAGGGGTGGTGTCAGCTGAAAGATATTGCAAAGGATAATCAATCCAGTTAAACAGAGACACAACCACATTAGTATGACTTTGCTACATAAATTCTAGAGCTACATATGACACTGAACTTAGAAATTATAATTATTAGAAAATAAATCATTTCATGTATGCTATTCCGAAAGAAAAAAACAGTCAGTCCGTCACTCAATATTCTGAAAGCGAGGTCTCGAAAGTAAACGGGTTCCCTTGCATAATTTCAATACACGGACACTGCTTATACGTTTAAATTTCGCAGATAGGACATACGTGACATGTTCATAATTCCGGCAAAATTCTACACAGAATTTGATGTTGGCTGCAAATGGGACACAGTACCTTTAAGTGACTCGGTAACATCGTTGAAGGTTGATTAAAATATTTCGTAATTTTTGTATGAAATGATACTTATAATCTTCCTTCTACTGTACCAACCATTTAACGTGCAAACAATCCTGAGAAAAGTTTAAACATTTTCAAGCCCCTCCTTTTTTTCTTTTCGTGATGTCATGCAGGCGCCATTTTGTGAAATCACATTATCAATCATATCTTCATGATGAGTCATCAAAGGTCATTCATATTCATATCACATATACTTTAGGTCAAGGGTCAACAGGTCATGTCATCAAAAGTTACATAAAGGTCACGATGCGCTCGTCAAAATTCAAAAATGCTCAAAATCACAAAACTATTATACGAGAGTACGAATCAGGTCATTTTAAGCATTTCAAAAATCTCCGCCCGCAGCGCCTACAAAACGTAAACACGCCGTTTTTTAGCATGGTTTGCATCAGCACCATTATCATCATCATCATGATCACCATCACGACCATCATCATCATCATCATCACCAAAATTATCATGATCATGATCATTATCTTTATAATCATTATCATGATCATCATCTATTCATCATCATGATCATCAAGGAGTTAATTTCATTATGGTCATGATTTTGATCATAATTATTTCTTGATATTTTGTTCATCAGTTAAGTTATCATTTCAGTTCAGGTCAATCAGTTCAATCTATCAGTTCATCAGTACTTCATTCATCAGTCCATATCTTAATACATAATATTACATTAACATCATTATATTGGATCATTGAATTGAAGATGAGCATGATCATAAGAATTGAAGACAGACCACCTAATTCGTCCTCATGACGATTTAAATTTCTAGTTATTATTTATTTTTATTTCTCCACTTTTTGTGCACAGGATAACTCAACATCAGTTACTTAGGTCAATTTATTTTAATTTTGGTACAGTCATAGATCATTGTCATAAGACGTGTCATAAAACAACAGAAAATGAAATAAATTTTCAATAATTTATTGCTTTTACCCCGGTTCCCAACATAAACAAATCTTCTGTGTGCCCATGCCTTGAGCCATAATGCATGGCCGTCCAGAGGATTTTTTTTGATGTTGGAGACCGGGGTAAAATGCACTAAATTATTGCAAATTTATTGCATTTTCTGTTTTTTTTATTGTTGGAAACTGCCCCCTACCCTAGCCCCCGCTGCGTACAGTCATGGTTCAGTGACAAAGCAATGGCCTCGTAACTGTGAGGCCCCAGGATCAAAACCGTGTCGATGTGCTATATAAGTGCCCTTTTGTGGGGCATTAATCCTCATTACTGTCATTTATGACTTAAGGGAATAGGTCCCCTAGTTGATAAGCATAGTAGCATACACATGCTTTAGCTGTCACGCAAAACATAGATTGGCAAATTGTTATTCAATAAAATCTGAGAATTTATACTATTATTTAGACCTATTATTTTTTAATTAATTTTAAAACAATTTATGAATTGGGGTAAAAAAAAATATTCCACCTTTATGAGCGACAGTGTATTCATTACAATTAATTTCGACGTCTTTTCAAAGAATTAATTATATCATGTGACACTTTAGTATATTTTATATTATGTTCTAATTTTGTCAAATATGTGAAATGTGAAACAAATAAAACTTGAAAAAAAAAAATTGAAGATTTCCATGAATGAATGGAATGCCACCAAGTGCGTAAAGGTGTTTTAAGATACTCACGTTCGAATACAGTAATTGTGAACGTGCAAGACCATTCATTTTCACTTGGATCCTTGGCCACATACGTAATATCATATGTTCCTGGAGAGAACACACCCGGTCCGCGAGAAGAAGTGATTTGATATGTCGTGCCGGATTCATCTGTTGCTGTTGGAATTTGCCATGAAATGAATACCTGTGTTTGTCCACGAGGCACAGTCTCATTCAAGTTTGAAGGACAAGTAAAATCTAGAGGGGTGGTGTCAGCTGAAAGATATTGCAAAGGATAATCAATCCAGTTAAACAGAGACACAACCACATTAGTATGACTTTGCTACATAAATTCTAGAGCTACATATGACACTGAACTTAGAAATTATAATTATTAGAAAATAAATCATTTCATGTATGCTATTCCGAAAGAAAAAACAGTCAGTCCGTCACTCAATATTCTGAAAGCGAGGTCTCGAAAGTAAACGGGTTCCCTTGCATAATTTCAATACACGGACACTGCTTATACGTTTAAATTTCGCAGATAGGACATACGTGACATGTTCATAATTCCGGCAAAATTCTACACAGAATTTGATGTTGGCTGCAAATGGGACACAGTACCTTTAAGTGACTCGGTAACATCGTTGAAGGTTGATTAAAAAATTTCGGATTTTTTGTATGAAATGATACTTATAATCTTCCTTCTACTGTACCAACCATTTAACGTGCAAACAATCCTGAAAAAAAGTTAAAACATTTTCAAGCCCCTCCTTTTTTTCTTTGCGTGATGTCATGCAGGCGCCATTTTGTGAAATCACATTATCAATCATATCTTCATGATGAGTCACCAAAGGTCATTCATATTCATATCACATATACTTTAGGTCAAGGGTCAACAGGTCATGTCATCAAAAGTTACATAAAGGTCACGATGCGCTCGTCAAAATTCAAAAATGCTCAAAATCACAAAACTATTAAACGAGAGTACGAATCAGGTCATTTTAAGCATTTCAAAAATCTCCGCCCGCAGCGCCTACAAAACGTAAACACGCCGTTTTTTAGCATGGTTTGCATCAGCACCATTATCATCATCATCATGATCACCATCACGACCATCATCATCATGATCATCATCACAAAAATTATCATGATCATGATCATTATCTTTATAATCATTATCATGATCATCATCTATTCATCATCATGATCATCAAGGAGTTAATTTCATTATGGTCATGATTTTGATCATAATTATTTCTTGATATTTTGTTCATCAGTTAAGTTATCACTTCAGTTCAGGTCCAATCAGTTCAATCTATCAGTTCATCAGTACTTCATTCATCAGTCCATATCTTAATACATAATACTACATTAACATCATTATATTGGATCATTGAATTGAAGATGAGCATGATCATAAGAATTGAAGACAGACCACCTAATTCGTCCTCATGACGATTTAAATCACTATTTATTATTTATTTTTATTTCTCCACTTTTTGTGACAGGATAACTCAACATCAGTTACTTAGGTCAATTTATTTTAATTTTGGTACAGTCATAGATCATTGTCATAAGACGTGTCATAAAACAACAGAAAATGAAATAAATTGTCAATAATTTATTGCTTTTACCCCGGTTCCCAGAGGATTTTTTTTTATGTTGGAGACCGGGGTAAAATGCACTAAATTATTGCAAATTTATTGCATTTTCTGTGTTTTTTTTATTTATGGAAACTGCCCCCTACCCTAGCCCCCGCTGCGTACAGTCATGGTTCAGTGACAAAGCAATGGCCTCGTAACTGTGAGGCCCCAGGATCAAAACCGTGTCGATGTGCTATATAAGTGCCCTTTTGTGGGGCATTAATCCTCATTACTGTCATTAATGACTTAAGGGAATAGGTCCCCTAGTTGATAAGCATAGTAGCATACACATGCTTTAGCTGTCACGCAAAACACAGATTGGTAAATTGTTATTCAATAAAATCTGAGAATGTATACTATTATTTAGATCTATTATTTTTTAATTAATTTTAAAACAATTCCATGAATTGGGGTAAAACAAAAATATTCCACCTTTATGAGCGACAGTGTATTCATTACAATTAATTTCGACGTCTTTTCAAAGAATTAATTATATCATGTGACACTTCCAGTATATTTTATATTATGTTCTAATTTTGTCAAATATGTGAAATGTGAAACAAATAATATAGGATTTCCCGGCCAAATTCGCGATTTTGTCATTCAAATTAATTTGTCTTACGTTCAAATTCGACGGTTTTAGTGCAGACAGGTATACCTCGGGTTTATATTCCCTTTTCTAGTTTTCAAATCTATGGAATTTTCGTTAGAATCTACGTATGTTTCATTCAAATTATTGAACAATGTGCTTCTTTCGCTATTTGGTCATTCGATTTGGCGCAACACAATTTTCTGACAACGCGACGGTGTACTTCTAGCATTCTAATTCATTTGTAGCATTCAAATTAGCACTTTGTGCACTTTAATTGATGGTCAATATACATTTCTCGTTTATTACACACTTTTTATAGCTCATTCTTTTTCTTTCAAGATTGTTTTTTCATGTGTATTTCATCATATTTCATTTTCTTGCATTTATACACTTATACTTATTAGATTTATCTGATATTCATCAGCATTTAAGTTTGATTGTTAAGAAGAAAAAAACGACTTGCATCTACGGACCTGATGGTCTCAGTATATTTGTAAATGTGCATGTAAGGAAGTTGTTTGTCTTATGTTTCATCATAAATTTATCATAATTTCATCATAATTTCATTATGGAAGAGGGGTACAATATTGTGACTGGGGTAGGATCTAGAGTCAACAATTTGAACATGATTCATTATTTAGCCATGTCTTTAGCCATCGATCTGCTGGCGGGCAAGTAAACTATGAAAATCTTTAAGAAAAACAGAGGGGTGTGCTGGGTATAAGAGACGATGTGAATTACTTTTGTAAAATTCCGAGTCTGTAGTATACTAAAAAGGGGCGATTGAGGGTACCCCCACCTTTCCCGTGTATATGAACATGTCCGTGCAGAAATGCCATATCCCTTGATTTCGTCCCTTCTTTACTTTATGTCTGACTACATCCATCCAAAATAAATAAATGGAATAACAGCTTAGACCCCAATGACAAATCATGCATTTTAACTGCATTATTTAAAAACTGTAAAAGTTTGTTGCAATTCTTCCCCATAACATTCCTAACTTGAATACAAATATTACGAATATGAATGACAGGTGTTAATTTGAATGATAAAAATTAAGCTTCGACAAGTGAATATTAATTTGAATGCTAGTTGAGCAGTTTCTAAATTGAATGACAGATCTATGAAACCCTTCGACCAAAATCCTAAATTAAATACAAAAACTGGAAAATCGAATGATAATTGGCATGGCAAAGCCGATCTGCGCTAACTTAAATGCAAAGTAAATGAATTCGAATGACAAACACGCGAATTTGGCCGGGAAATCCTATATTGAAAAAAAAAAAAAATTGAAGATTTCCATGAATGAATGGAATGCCACTAAGTGCGTAAGGTGTTTTAAGATACTCACGTTCGAATACAGTAATTGTGAACGTGCAAGACCATTCATTTTCACTTGGATCCTTGGCCACATACGTAATATCATATGTTCCTGGAGAGAACACACCCGGTCCGCGAGAAGAAGTGATTTGATATGTCGTGCCGGATTCATCTGTTGCTGTTGGAATTTGCCATGAAATGAATACCTGTGTTTGTCCACGAGGCACAGTCTCATTCAAGTTTGAAGGACAAGTAAAATCTAGAGGGGTGGTGTCAGCTGAAAGATATTGCAAAGGATAATCAATCCAGTTAAACAGAGACACAACCACATTAGTATGACTTTGCTACATAAATTCTAGAGCTACATATGACACTGAACTTAGAAATTATAATTATTAGAAAATAAATCATTTCATGTATGCTATTCCGAAAGAAAAAAACAGTCAGTCCGTCACTCAATATTCTGAAAGCGAGGTCTCGAAAGTAAACGGGTTCCCTTGCATAATTTCAATACACGGACACTGCTTATACGTTTAAATTTCGCAGATAGGACATACGTGACATGTTCATAATTCCGGCAAAATTCTACACAGAATTTGATGTTGGCTGCAAATGGGACACAGTACCTTTAAGTGACTCGGTAACATCGTTGAAGGTTGATTAAAATATTTCGTAATTTTTGTATGAAATGATACTTATAATCTTCCTTCTACTGTACCAACCATTTAACGTGCAAACAATCCTGAGAAAAGTTTAAACATTTTCAAGCCCCTCCTTTTTTTCTTTTCGTGATGTCATGCAGGCGCCATTTTGTGAAATCACATTATCAATCATATCTTCATGATGAGTCATCAAAGGTCATTCATATTCATATCACATATACTTTAGGTCAAGGGTCAACAGGTCATGTCATCAAAAGTTACATAAAGGTCACGATGCGCTCGTCAAAATTCAAAAATGCTCAAAATCACAAAACTATTAAACGAGAGTACGAATCAGGTCATTTTAAGCATTTCAAAAATCTCCGCCCGCAGCGCCTACAAAACGTAAACACGCCGTTTTTAGCATGGTTTGCATCAGCACCATTATCATCATCATCATGATCACCATCACGACCATCATCATCATGATCATCATCACCAAAATTATCATGATCATGATCATTATCTTTATAATCATTATCATGATCATCATCTATTCATCATCATGATCATCAAGGAGTTAATTTCATTATGGTCATGATTTTGATCATAATTATTTCTTGATATTTTGTTCATCAGTTAAGTTATCACTTCAGTTCAGGTCAATCAGTTCAATCTATCAGTTTATCAGTACTTCATTCATCAGTCCATATCTTAATACATAATATTACATTAACATCATTATATTGGATCATTGAATTGAAGATGAGCATGATCATAAGAATTGAAGACAGACCACCTAATTCGTCCTCATGACGATTTAAATCACTAGTTATTATTTATTTTTATTTCTCCACTTTTTGTGCACAGGATAACTCAACATCAGTTACTTAGGTCAATTTATTTTAATTTTGGTACAGTCATAGATCATTGTCATAAGACGTGTCATAAAACAACAGAAAATGAAATAAATTGTCAATAATTTATTGCTTTTACCCCGGTTCCCAACATAAACAAATCTTCTGTGTGCCCATGCCTTGAGCCATAATGCATGGCCGTCCAGAGGATTTTTTTTTATGTTGGAGACCGGGGTAAAATGCACTAAATTATTGCAAATTTATTGCATTTTCTGTTTTTTTTTTATTGTTGGAAACTGCCCCCTACCCTAGCCCCCGCTGCGTACAGTCATGGTTCAGTGACAAAGCAATGGCCTCGTAACTGTGAGGCCCCAGGATCAAAACCGTGTCGATGTGCTATATAAGTGCCCTTTTGTGGGGCATTAATCCTCATTACTGTCATTTATGACTTAAGGGAATAGGTCCCCTAGTTGATAAGCATAGTAGCATACACATGCTTTAGCTGTCACGCAAAACATAGATTGGCAAATTGTTATTCAATAAAATCTGAGAATTTATACTATTATTTAGACCTATTATTTTTTAATTAATTTTAAAACAATTTTATAAATTGGGGTAAAAAAAAAATATTCCACCTTTATGAGCGACAGTGTATTCATTACAATTAATTTCGACGTCTTTTCAAAGAATTAATTATATCATGTGACACTTTTAGTATATTTTATATTATGTTCTAATTTTGTCAATTATGTGAAATGTGAAACAAATAAAACTTGAAAAAAAAAAACTTGAAGATTCCCATGAATGAATGGAATGCCACCAAGTGCGTAAAGGTGTTTTAAGATACTCACGTTCGAATACAGTAATTGTGAACGTGCAAGACCATTCATTTTCACTTGGATCCTTGGCCACATACGTAATATCATATGTTCCTGGAGAGAACACACCTGGTCCGCGAGAAGAAGTGATTTGATATGTCGTGCCGGATTCATCTGTTGCTGTTGGAATTTGCCATGAAATGAATACCTGTGTTTGTCCACGAGGCACAGTCTCATTCAAGTTTGAAGGACAAGTAAAATCTAGAGGGGTGGTGTCAGCTGAAAGATATTGCAAAGGATAATCAATCCAGTTAAACAGAGACACAACCACATTAGTATGACTTTGCTACATAAATTCTAGAGCTACATATGACACTGAACTTAGAAATTATAATTATTAGAAAATAAATCATTTCATGTTTGTTATTCCGAAAGAAAAAACAGTCAGTCCGTCACTCAATATTCTGAAAGCGAGGTCTAGAAAGTAAACGGGTTCCCTTGCATAATTTCAATACACGGACACTGCTTATACGTTTAAATTTCGCAGATAGGACATACGTGACATGTTCATAATTCCGGCAAAATTCTACACAGAATTTGATGTTGGCTGCAAATGGGACACAGTACCTTTAAGTGACTCGGTAACATCGTTGAAGGTTGATTAAAATATTTCGTAATTTTTGTATGAAATGATACTTATAATCTTCCTTCTACTGTACCAACCATTTAACGTGCAAACAATCCTGAAAAAAGTTTAAACATTTTCAAGCCCCTCCTTTTTTTTCTTTTCGTGATGTCATGCAGGCGCCATTTTGTGAAATCACATTATCAATCATATCTTCATGAAGAGTCATCAAAGGTCATTCATATTCATATCACATATACTTTAGGTCAAGGGTCAACAGGTCATGTCATCAAAAGTTACATAAAGGTCACGATGCGCTCGTCAAAATTCAAAAATGCTCAAAATCACAAAACTATTATACGAGAGTACGAATCAGATCATTTTAAGCATTTCAAAAATCTCCACCCGCAGCGCCTACAAAAAGTAAACACGCCGTTTTTTTAGCATGGTTTGCATCAGCACCATTATCATCATCATCATGATCACCATCACGACCATCATCATCATCATCATCACCAAAATTATCATGATCATGATCATTATCTTTATAATCATTATCATGATCATCATTTATTCATCATCATGATCATCAAGGAGTTAATTTCATTATGGTCATGATTTTGATCATAATTATTTCTTGATATTTTGTTCATCAGTTAAGTTATCATTTCAGTTCAGGTCCAATCAGTTCAATCTATCAGTTCATCAGTACTTCATTCATCAGTCCATATCTTAATATATAATATTACATTAACATCATTATATTGGATCATTGAATTGAAGATGAGCATGATCATAAGAATTGAAGACAGACCACCTAATTCGTCCTCATGACGATTTAAATTTCTAGTTATTATTTATTTTTATTTCTCCACTTTTTGTGCACAGGATAACTCAACATCAGTTACTTAGGTCAATTTATTTTAATTTTGGTACAGTCATAGATCATTGTCATAAGACGTGTCATAAAACAACAGAAAATAAAATAAATTTTCAATAATTTATTGCTTTTACCCCGGTTCCCAACATAAACAAATCTTCTGTGTGCCCATGCCTTGAGCCATAATGCATGGCCGTCCAGAGGATTTTTTTTGATGTTGGAGACCGGGGTAAAATGCACTAAATTATTGCAAATTTATTGCATTTTCTGTGTTTTTTTATTGTTGGAAACTGCCCCCTACCCTAGCCCCCGCTGCGTACAGTCATGGTTCAGTGACAAAGCAATGGCCTCGTAACTGTGAGGCCCCAGGATCAAAACCGTGTCGATGTGCGATATAAGTGCCCTTTTGTGGGGCATTAATCCTCATTACTGTCATTTATGACTTAAGGGAATAGGTCCCCTAGTTGATAAGCATAGTAGCATACACATGCTTTAGCTGTCACGCAAAACACAGATTGGCAAATTGTTATTCAATAAAATCTGAGAATGTATACTATTATTTAGATCTATTATTTTTTAATTAATTTGAAAACAATTCCATGAATTGGGGTAAAAAAAAAATATTCCACCTTCATGAGCGACAGTGTATTCATTACAATTAATTTCGACGTCTTTTCAAAGAATTAATTATATCATGTGACACTTCCAGTATATTTTATATTATGTTCTAATTTTGTCAAATATGTGAAATGTGAAACAAATAGAACTTGAAAAAAAAAACTTGAAGATTTCCATGAATGAATGGAATGCCACCAAGTGCGTAAAGGTGTTTTAAGATACTCACGTTCGAATACAGTAATTGTGAACGTGCAAGACCATTCATTTTCACTTGGATCCTTGGCCACATACGTAATATCATATGTTCCTGGAGAGAACACACCCGGTCCGCGAGAAGAAGTGATTTGATATGTCGTGCCGGATTCATCTGTTGCTGTTGGAATTTGCCATGAAATGAATACCTGTGTTTGTCCACGAGGCACAGTCTCATTCAAGTTTGAAGGACAAGTAAAATCTAGAGGGGTGGTGTCAGCTGAAAGATATTGCAAAGGATAATCAATCCAGTTAAACAGAGACACAACCACATTAGTATGACTTTGCTACATAAATTCTAGAGCTACATATGACACTGAACTTAGAAATTATAATTATTAGAAAATAAATCATTTCATGTATGCTATTCTGAAAGAAAAAACAGTCAGTCCGTCACTCAATATTCTGAAAGCGAGGTCTCGAAAGTAAACGGGTTCCCTTGCATAATTTCAATACACAGACACTGCTTATACGTTTAAATTTCGCAGATAGGACATACGTGACATGTTCATAATTCCGGCAAAATTCTACACAGAATTTGATGTTGGCTGCAAATGGGACACAGTACCTTTAAGTGACTCGGTAACATCGTTGAAGGTTGATTAAAAAATTTCGGATTTTTTGTATGAAATGATACTTATAATCTTCCTTCTACTGTACCAACCATTTAACGTGCAAACAATCCTGAAAAAAAGTTAAAACATTTTCAAGCCCCTCCTTTTTTTCTTTGCGTGATGTCATGCAGGCGCCATTTTGTGAAATCACATTATCAATCATATCTTCATGATGAGTCACCAAAGGTCATTCATATTCATATCACATATACTTTAGGTCAAGGGTCAACAGGTCATGTCATCAAAAGTTACATAAAGGTCACGATGCGCTCGTCAAAATTCAAAAATGCTCAAAATCACAAAACTATTAAACGAGAGTACGAATCAGGTCATTTTAAGCATTTCAAAAATCTCCGCCCGCAGCGCCTACAAAACGTAAACACGCCGTTTTTTAGCATGGTTTGCATCAGCACCATTATCATCATCATCATGATCACCATCACGACCATCATCATCATGATCATCATCACAAAAATTATCATGATCATGATCATTATCTTTATAATCATTATCATGATCATCATCTATTCATCATCATGATCATCAAGGAGTTAATTTCATTATGGTCATGATTTTGATCATAATTATTTCTTGATATTTTGTTCATCAGTTAAGTTATCACTTCAGTTCAGGTCCAATCAGTTCAATCTATCAGTTCATCAGTACTTCATTCATCAGTCCATATCTTAATACATAATACTACATTAACATCATTATATTGGATCATTGAATTGAAGATGAGCATGATCATAAGAATTGAAGACAGACCACCTAATTCGTCCTCATGACGATTTAAATCACTATTTATTATTTATTTTTATTTCTCCACTTTTTGTGACAGGATAACTCAACATCAGTTACTTAGGTCAATTTATTTTAATTTTGGTACAGTCATAGATCATTGTCATAAGACGTGTCATAAAACAACAGAAAATGAAATAAATTGTCAATAATTTATTGCTTTTACCCCGGTTCCCAGAGGATTTTTTTTGATGTTGGAGACCGGGGTAAAATGCACTAAATTATTGCAAATTTATTGCATTTTCTGTGTTTTTTTTATTTATGGAAACTGCCCCCTACCCTAGCCCCCGCTGCGTACAGTCATGGTTCAGTGACAAAGCAATGGCCTCGTAACTGTGAGGCCCCAGGATCAAAACCGTGTCGATGTGCTATATAAGTGCCCTTTTGTGGGGCATTAATCCTCATTACTGTCATTAATGACTTAAGGGAATAGGTCCCCTAGTTGATAAGCATAGTAGCATACACATGCTTTAGCTGTCACGCAAAACACAGATTGGTAAATTGTTATTCAATAAAATCTGAGAATGTATACTATTATTTAGATCTATTATTTTTTAATTAATTTTAAAACAATTCCATGAATTGGGGTAAAACAAAAATATTCCACCTTTATGAGCGACAGTGTATTCATTACAATTAATTTCGACGTCTTTTCAAAGAATTAATTATATCATGTGACACTTCCAGTATATTTTATATTATGTTCTAATTTTGTCAAATATGTGAAATGTGAAACAAATAATATAGGATTTCCCGGCCAAATTCGCGATTTTGTCATTCAAATTAATTTGTCTTACGTTCAAATTCGACGGTTTTAGTGCAGACAGGTATACCTCGGGTTTATATTCCCTTTTCTAGTTTTCAAATCTATGGAATTTTCGTTAGAATCTACGTATGTTTCATTCAAATTATTGAACAATGTGCTTCTTTCGCTATTTGGTCATTCGATTTGGCGCAACACAATTTTCTGACAACGCGACGGTGTACTTCTAGCATTCTAATTCATTTGTAGCATTCAAATTAGCACTTTGTGCACTTTAATTGATGGTCAATATACATTTCTCGTTTATTACACACTTTTTATAGCTCATTCTTTTTCTTTCAAGATTGTTTTTTCATGTGTATTTCATCATATTTCATTTTCTTGCATTTATACACTTATACTTATTAGATTTATCTGATATTCATCAGCATTTAAGTTTGATTGTTAAGAAGAAAAAAACGACTTGCATCTACGGACCTGATGGTCTCAGTATATTTGTAAATGTGCATGTAAGGAAGTTGTTTGTCTTATGTTTCATCATAAATTTATCATAATTTCATCATAATTTCATTATGGAAGAGGGGTACAATATTGTGACTGGGGTAGGATCTAGAGTCAACAATTTGAACATGATTCATTATTTAGCCATGTCTTTAGCCATCGATCTGCTGGCGGGCAAGTAAACTATGAAAATCTTTAAGAAAAACAGAGGGGTGTGCTGGGTATAAGAGACGATGTGAATTACTTTTGTAAAATTCCGAGTCTGTAGTATACTAAAAAGGGGCGATTGAGGGTACCCCCACCTTTCCCGTGTATATGAACATGTCCGTGCAGAAATGCCATATCCCTTGATTTCGTCCCTTCTTTACTTTATGTCTGACTACATCCATCCAAAATAAATAAATGGAATAACAGCTTAGACCCCAATGACAAATCATGCATTTTAACTGCATTATTTAAAAACTGTAAAAGTTTGTTGCAATTCTTCCCCATAACATTCCTAACTTGAATACAAATATTACGAATATGAATGACAGGTGTTAATTTGAATGATAAAAATTAAGCTTCGACAAGTGAATATTAATTTGAATGCTAGTTGAGCAGTTTCTAAATTGAATGACAGATCTATGAAACCCTTCGACCAAAATCCTAAATTAAATACAAAAACTGGAAAATCGAATGATAATTGGCATGGCAAAGCCGATCTGCGCTAACTTAAATGCAAAGTAAATGAATTCGAATGACAAACACGCGAATTTGGCCGGGAAATCCTATATTGAAAAAAAAAAAAAATTGAAGATTTCCATGAATGAATGGAATGCCACTAAGTGCGTAAGGTGTTTTAAGATACTCACGTTCGAATACAGTAATTGTGAACGTGCAAGACCATTCATTTTCACTTGGATCCTTGGCCACATACGTAATATCATATGTTCCTGGAGAGAACACACCCGGTCCGCGAGAAGAAGTGATTTGATATGTCGTGCCGGATTCATCTGTTGCTGTTGGAATTTGCCATGAAATGAATACCTGTGTTTGTCCACGAGGCACAGTCTCATTCAAGTTTGAAGGACAAGTAAAATCTAGAGGGGTGGTGTCAGCTGAAAGATATTGCAAAGGATAATCAATCCAGTTAAACAGAGACACAACCACATTAGTATGACTTTGCTACATAAATTCTAGAGCTACATATGACACTGAACTTAGAAATTATAATTATTAGAAAATAAATCATTTCATGTATGCTATTCCGAAAGAAAAAAACAGTCAGTCCGTCACTCAATATTCTGAAAGCGAGGTCTCGAAAGTAAACGGGTTCCCTTGCATAATTTCAATACACGGACACTGCTTATACGTTTAAATTTCGCAGATAGGACATACGTGACATGTTCATAATTCCGGCAAAATTCTACACAGAATTTGATGTTGGCTGCAAATGGGACACAGTACCTTTAAGTGACTCGGTAACATCGTTGAAGGTTGATTAAAATATTTCGTAATTTTTGTATGAAATGATACTTATAATCTTCCTTCTACTGTACCAACCATTTAACGTGCAAACAATCCTGAGAAAAGTTTAAACATTTTCAAGCCCCTCCTTTTTTTCTTTTCGTGATGTCATGCAGGCGCCATTTTGTGAAATCACATTATCAATCATATCTTCATGATGAGTCATCAAAGGTCATTCATATTCATATCACATATACTTTAGGTCAAGGGTCAACAGGTCATGTCATCAAAAGTTACATAAAGGTCACGATGCGCTCGTCAAAATTCAAAAATGCTCAAAATCACAAAACTATTAAACGAGAGTACGAATCAGGTCATTTTAAGCATTTCAAAAATCTCCGCCCGCAGCGCCTACAAAACGTAAACACGCCGTTTTTAGCATGGTTTGCATCAGCACCATTATCATCATCATCATGATCACCATCACGACCATCATCATCATGATCATCATCACCAAAATTATCATGATCATGATCATTATCTTTATAATCATTATCATGATCATCATCTATTCATCATCATGATCATCAAGGAGTTAATTTCATTATGGTCATGATTTTGATCATAATTATTTCTTGATATTTTGTTCATCAGTTAAGTTATCACTTCAGTTCAGGTCAATCAGTTCAATCTATCAGTTTATCAGTACTTCATTCATCAGTCCATATCTTAATACATAATATTACATTAACATCATTATATTGGATCATTGAATTGAAGATGAGCATGATCATAAGAATTGAAGACAGACCACCTAATTCGTCCTCATGACGATTTAAATCACTAGTTATTATTTATTTTTATTTCTCCACTTTTTGTGCACAGGATAACTCAACATCAGTTACTTAGGTCAATTTATTTTAATTTTGGTACAGTCATAGATCATTGTCATAAGACGTGTCATAAAACAACAGAAAATGAAATAAATTGTCAATAATTTATTGCTTTTACCCCGGTTCCCAACATAAACAAATCTTCTGTGTGCCCATGCCTTGAGCCATAATGCATGGCCGTCCAGAGGATTTTTTTTGATGTTGGAGACCGGGGTAAAATGCACTAAATTATTGCAAATTTATTGCATTTTCTGTGTTTTTTTTATTTTGGAAACTGCCCCCTACCCTAGCCCCCGCTGCGTACAGTCATGGTTCAGTGACAAAGCAATGGCCTCGTAACTGTGAGGCCCCAGGATCAAAACCGTGTCGATGTGCTATATAAGTGCCCTTTTGTGGGGCATTAATCCTCATTACTGTCATTTATGACTTAAGGGAATAGGTCCCCTAGTTGATAAGCATAGTAGCATACACATGCTTTAGCTGTCACGCAAAACATAGATTGGCAAATTGTTATTCAATAAAATCTGAGAATTTATACTATTATTTAGACCTATTATTTTTTAATTAATTTTAAAACAATTTTATAAATTGGGGTAAAAAAAAATATTCCACCTTTATGAGCGACAGTGTATTCATTACAATTAATTTCGACGTCTTTTCAAAGAATTAATTATATCATGTGACACTTTTAGTATATTTTATATTATGTTCTAATTTTGTCAATTATGTGAAATGTGAAACAAATAAAACTTGAAAAAAAAAAACTTGAAGATTCCCATGAATGAATGGAATGCCACCAAGTGCGTAAAGGTGTTTTAAGATACTCACGTTCGAATACAGTAATTGTGAACGTGCAAGACCATTCATTTTCACTTGGATCCTTGGCCACATACGTAATATCATATGTTCCTGGAGAGAACACACCTGGTCCGCGAGAAGAAGTGATTTGATATGTCGTGCCGGATTCATCTGTTGCTGTTGGAATTTGCCATGAAATGAATACCTGTGTTTGTCCACGAGGCACAGTCTCATTCAAGTTTGAAGGACAAGTAAAATCTAGAGGGGTGGTGTCAGCTGAAAGATATTGCAAAGGATAATCAATCCAGTTAAACAGAGACACAACCACATTAGTATGACTTTGCTACATAAATTCTAGAGCTACATATGACACTGAACTTAGAAATTATAATTATTAGAAAATAAATCATTTCATGTTTGTTATTCCGAAAGAAAAAACAGTCAGTCCGTCACTCAATATTCTGAAAGCGAGGTCTAGAAAGTAAACGGGTTCCCTTGCATAATTTCAATACACGGACACTGCTTATACGTTTAAATTTCGCAGATAGGACATACGTGACATGTTCATAATTCCGGCAAAATTCTACACAGAATTTGATGTTGGCTGCAAATGGGACACAGTACCTTTAAGTGACTCGGTAACATCGTTGAAGGTTGATTAAAATATTTCGTAATTTTTGTATGAAATGATACTTATAATCTTCCTTCTACTGTACCAACCATTTAACGTGCAAACAATCCTGAAAAAAGTTTAAACATTTTCAAGCCCCTCCTTTTTTTTCTTTTCGTGATGTCATGCAGGCGCCATTTTGTGAAATCACATTATCAATCATATCTTCATGAAGAGTCATCAAAGGTCATTCATATTCATATCACATATACTTTAGGTCAAGGGTCAACAGGTCATGTCATCAAAAGTTACATAAAGGTCACGATGCGCTCGTCAAAATTCAAAAATGCTCAAAATCACAAAACTATTATACGAGAGTACGAATCAGATCATTTTAAGCATTTCAAAAATCTCCACCCGCAGCGCCTACAAAAAGTAAACACGCCGTTTTTTTAGCATGGTTTGCATCAGCACCATTATCATCATCATCATGATCACCATCACGACCATCATCATCATCATCATCACCAAAATTATCATGATCATGATCATTATCTTTATAATCATTATCATGATCATCATCTATTCATCATCATGATCATCAAGGAGTTAATTTCATTATGGTCATGATTTTGATCATAATTATTTCTTGATATTTTGTTCATCAGTTAAGTTATCATTTCAGTTCAGGTCCAATCAGTTCAATCTATCAGTTCATCAGTACTTCATTCATCAGTCCATATCTTAATATATAATATTACATTAACATCATTATATTGGATCATTGAATTGAAGATGAGCATGATCATAAGAATTGAAGACAGACCACCTAATTCGTCCTCATGACGATTTAAATTTCTAGTTATTATTTATTTTTATTTCTCCACTTTTTGTGCACAGGATAACTCAACATCAGTTACTTAGGTCAATTTATTTTAATTTTGGTACAGTCATAGATCATTGTCATAAGACGTGTCATAAAACAACAGAAAATGAAATAAATTGTCAATAATTTATTGCTTTTACCCCGGTTCCCAACATAAACAAATCTTCTGTGTGCCCATTCCTTGAGCCATAATGCATGGCCGTCCAGAGGATTTTTTTTGATGTTGGAGACCGGGGTAAAATGCACTAAATTATTGCAAATTTATTGCATTTTCTGTGTTTTTTTTATTTATGGAAACTGCCCCCTACCCTAGCCCCCGCTGCGTACAGTCATGGTTCAGTGACAAAGCAATGGCCTCGTAACTGTGAGGCCCCAGGATCAAAACCGTGTCGATGTGCTATATAAGTGCCCTTTTGTGGGGCATTAATCCTCATTACTGTCATTAATGACTTAAGGGAATAGGTCCCCTAGTTGATAAGCATAGTAGCATACACATGCTTTAGCTGTCACGCAAAACACAGATTGGTAAATTGTTATTCAATAAAATCTGAGAATGTATACTATTATTTAGATCTATTATTTTTTAATTAATTTTAAAACAATTCCATGAATTGGGGTAAAACAAAAATATTCCACCTTTATGAGCGACAGTGTATTCATTACAATTAATTTCGACGTCTTTTCAAAGAATTAATTATATCATGTGACACTTCCAGTATATTTTATATTATGTTCTAATTTTGTCAAATATGTGAAATGTGAAACAAATAATATAGGATTTCCCGGCCAAATTCGCGATTTTGTCATTCAAATTAATTTGTCTTACGTTCAAATTCGACGGTTTTAGTGCAGACAGGTATACCTCGGGTTTATATTCCCTTTTCTAGTTTTCAAATCTATGGAATTTTCGTTAGAATCTACGTATGTTTCATTCAAATTATTGAACAATGTGCTTCTTTCGCTATTTGGTCATTCGATTTGGCGCAACACAATTTTCTGACAACGCGACGGTGTACTTCTAGCATTCTAATTCATTTGTAGCATTCAAATTAGCACTTTGTGCACTTTAATTGATGGTCAATATACATTTCTCGTTTATTACACACTTTTTATAGCTCATTCTTTTTCTTTCAAGATTGTTTTTTCATGTGTATTTCATCATATTTCATTTTCTTGCATTTATACACTTATACTTATTAGATTTATCTGATATTCATCAGCATTTAAGTTTGATTGTTAAGAAGAAAAAAACGACTTGCATCTACGGACCTGATGGTCTCAGTATATTTGTAAATGTGCATGTAAGGAAGTTGTTTGTCTTATGTTTCATCATAAATTTATCATAATTTCATCATAATTTCATTATGGAAGAGGGGTACAATATTGTGACTGGGGTAGGATCTAGAGTCAACAATTTGAACATGATTCATTATTTAGCCATGTCTTTAGCCATCGATCTGCTGGCGGGCAAGTAAACTATGAAAATCTTTAAGAAAAACAGAGGGGTGTGCTGGGTATAAGAGACGATGTGAATTACTTTTGTAAAATTCCGAGTCTGTAGTATACTAAAAAGGGGCGATTGAGGGTACCCCCACCTTTCCCGTGTATATGAACATGTCCGTGCAGAAATGCCATATCCCTTGATTTCGTCCCTTCTTTACTTTATGTCTGACTACATCCATCCAAAATAAATAAATGGAATAACAGCTTAGACCCCAATGACAAATCATGCATTTTAACTGCATTATTTAAAAACTGTAAAAGTTTGTTGCAATTCTTCCCCATAACATTCCTAACTTGAATACAAATATTACGAATATGAATGACAGGTGTTAATTTGAATGATAAAAATTAAGCTTCGACAAGTGAATATTAATTTGAATGCTAGTTGAGCAGTTTCTAAATTGAATGACAGATCTATGAAACCCTTCGACCAAAATCCTAAATTAAATACAAAAACTGGAAAATCGAATGATAATTGGCATGGCAAAGCCGATCTGCGCTAACTTAAATGCAAAGTAAATGAATTCGAATGACAAACACGCGAATTTGGCCGGGAAATCCTATATTGAAAAAAAAAAAAAATTGAAGATTTCCATGAATGAATGGAATGCCACTAAGTGCGTAAGGTGTTTTAAGATACTCACGTTCGAATACAGTAATTGTGAACGTGCAAGACCATTCATTTTCACTTGGATCCTTGGCCACATACGTAATATCATATGTTCCTGGAGAGAACACACCCGGTCCGCGAGAAGAAGTGATTTGATATGTCGTGCCGGATTCATCTGTTGCTGTTGGAATTTGCCATGAAATGAATACCTGTGTTTGTCCACGAGGCACAGTCTCATTCAAGTTTGAAGGACAAGTAAAATCTAGAGGGGTGGTGTCAGCTGAAAGATATTGCAAAGGATAATCAATCCAGTTAAACAGAGACACAACCACATTAGTATGACTTTGCTACATAAATTCTAGAGCTACATATGACACTGAACTTAGAAATTATAATTATTAGAAAATAAATCATTTCATGTATGCTATTCCGAAAGAAAAAAACAGTCAGTCCGTCACTCAATATTCTGAAAGCGAGGTCTCGAAAGTAAACGGGTTCCCTTGCATAATTTCAATACACGGACACTGCTTATACGTTTAAATTTCGCAGATAGGACATACGTGACATGTTCATAATTCCGGCAAAATTCTACACAGAATTTGATGTTGGCTGCAAATGGGACACAGTACCTTTAAGTGACTCGGTAACATCGTTGAAGGTTGATTAAAATATTTCGTAATTTTTGTATGAAATGATACTTATAATCTTCCTTCTACTGTACCAACCATTTAACGTGCAAACAATCCTGAGAAAAGTTTAAACATTTTCAAGCCCCTCCTTTTTTTCTTTTCGTGATGTCATGCAGGCGCCATTTTGTGAAATCACATTATCAATCATATCTTCATGATGAGTCATCAAAGGTCATTCATATTCATATCACATATACTTTAGGTCAAGGGTCAACAGGTCATGTCATCAAAAGTTACATAAAGGTCACGATGCGCTCGTCAAAATTCAAAAATGCTCAAAATCACAAAACTATTAAACGAGAGTACGAATCAGGTCATTTTAAGCATTTCAAAAATCTCCGCCCGCAGCGCCTACAAAACGTAAACACGCCGTTTTTAGCATGGTTTGCATCAGCACCATTATCATCATCATCATGATCACCATCACGACCATCATCATCATGATCATCATCACCAAAATTATCATGATCATGATCATTATCTTTATAATCATTATCATGATCATCATCTATTCATCATCATGATCATCAAGGAGTTAATTTCATTATGGTCATGATTTTGATCATAATTATTTCTTGATATTTTGTTCATCAGTTAAGTTATCACTTCAGTTCAGGTCAATCAGTTCAATCTATCAGTTTATCAGTACTTCATTCATCAGTCCATATCTTAATACATAATATTACATTAACATCATTATATTGGATCATTGAATTGAAGATGAGCATGATCATAAGAATTGAAGACAGACCACCTAATTCGTCCTCATGACGATTTAAATCACTAGTTATTATTTATTTTTATTTCTCCACTTTTTGTGCACAGGATAACTCAACATCAGTTACTTAGGTCAATTTATTTTAATTTTGGTACAGTCATAGATCATTGTCATAAGACGTGTCATAAAACAACAGAAAATGAAATAAATTGTCAATAATTTATTGCTTTTACCCCGGTTCCCAACATAAACAAATCTTCTGTGTGCCCATGCCTTGAGCCATAATGCATGGCCGTCCAGAGGATTTTTTTTGATGTTGGAGACCGGGGTAAAATGCACTAAATTATTGCAAATTTATTGCATTTTCTGTGTTTTTTTTATTTTGGAAACTGCCCCCTACCCTAGCCCCCGCTGCGTACAGTCATGGTTCAGTGACAAAGCAATGGCCTCGTAACTGTGAGGCCCCAGGATCAAAACCGTGTCGATGTGCTATATAAGTGCCCTTTTGTGGGGCATTAATCCTCATTACTGTCATTTATGACTTAAGGGAATAGGTCCCCTAGTTGATAAGCATAGTAGCATACACATGCTTTAGCTGTCACGCAAAACATAGATTGGCAAATTGTTATTCAATAAAATCTGAGAATTTATACTATTATTTAGACCTATTATTTTTTAATTAATTTTAAAACAATTTTATAAATTGGGGTAAAAAAAAAATATTCCACCTTTATGAGCGACAGTGTATTCATTACAATTAATTTCGACGTCTTTTCAAAGAATTAATTATATCATGTGACACTTTTAGTATATTTTATATTATGTTCTAATTTTGTCAATTATGTGAAATGTGAAACAAATAAAACTTGAAAAAAAACAACTTGAAGATTCCCATGAATGAATGGAATGCCACCAAGTGCGTAAAGGTGTTTTAAGATACTCACGTTCGAATACAGTAATTGTGAACGTGCAAGACCATTCATTTTCACTTGGATCCTTGGCCACATACGTAATATCATATGTTCCTGGAGAGAACACACCTGGTCCGCGAGAAGAAGTGATTTGATATGTCGTGCCGGATTCATCTGTTGCTGTTGGAATTTGCCATGAAATGAATACCTGTGTTTGTCCACGAGGCACAGTCTCATTCAAGTTTGAAGGACAAGTAAAATCTAGAGGGGTGGTGTCAGCTGAAAGATATTGCAAAGGATAATCAATCCAGTTAAACAGAGACACAACCACATTAGTATGACTTTGCTACATAAATTCTAGAGCTACATATGACACTGAACTTAGAAATTATAATTATTAGAAAATAAATCATTTCATGTTTGTTATTCCGAAAGAAAAAACAGTCAGTCCGTCACTCAATATTCTGAAAGCGAGGTCTAGAAAGTAAACGGGTTCCCTTGCATAATTTCAATACACGGACACTGCTTATACGTTTAAATTTCGCAGATAGGACATACGTGACATGTTCATAATTCCGGCAAAATTCTACACAGAATTTGATGTTGGCTGCAAATGGGACACAGTACCTTTAAGTGACTCGGTAACATCGTTGAAGGTTGATTAAAATATTTCGTAATTTTTGTATGAAATGATACTTATAATCTTCCTTCTACTGTACCAACCATTTAACGTGCAAACAATCCTGAAAAAAGTTTAAACATTTTCAAGCCCCTCCTTTTTTTTCTTTTCGTGATGTCATGCAGGCGCCATTTTGTGAAATCACATTATCAATCATATCTTCATGAAGAGTCATCAAAGGTCATTCATATTCATATCACATATACTTTAGGTCAAGGGTCAACAGGTCATGTCATCAAAAGTTACATAAAGGTCACGATGCGCTCGTCAAAATTCAAAAATGCTCAAAATCACAAAACTATTATACGAGAGTACGAATCAGATCATTTTAAGCATTTCAAAAATCTCCACCCGCAGCGCCTACAAAAAGTAAACACGCCGTTTTTTTAGCATGGTTTGCATCAGCACCATTATCATCATCATCATGATCACCATCACGACCATCATCATCATCATCATCACCAAAATTATCATGATCATGATCATTATCTTTATAATCATTATCATGATCATCATCTATTCATCATCATGATCATCAAGGAGTTAATTTCATTATGGTCATGATTTTGATCATAATTATTTCTTGATATTTTGTTCATCAGTTAAGTTATCATTTCAGTTCAGGTCCAATCAGTTCAATCTATCAGTTCATCAGTACTTCATTCATCAGTCCATATCTTAATATATAATATTACATTAACATCATTATATTGGATCATTGAATTGAAGATGAGCATGATCATAAGAATTGAAGACAGACCACCTAATTCGTCCTCATGACGATTTAAATTTCTAGTTATTATTTATTTTTATTTCTCCACTTTTTGTGCACAGGATAACTCAACATCAGTTACTTAGGTCAATTTATTTTAATTTTGGTACAGTCATAGATCATTGTCATAAGACGTGTCATAAAACAACAGAAAATGAAATAAATTGTCAATAATTTATTGCTTTTACCCCGGTTCCCAACATAAACAAATCTTCTGTGTGCCCATTCCTTGAGCCATAATGCATGGCCGTCCAGAGGATTTTTTTTGATGTTGGAGACCGGGGTAAAATGCACTAAATTATTGCAAATTTATTGCATTTTCTGTGTTTTTTTTATTTATGGAAACTGCCCCCTACCCTAGCCCCCGCTGCGTACAGTCATGGTTCAGTGACAAAGCAATGGCCTCGTAACTGTGAGGCCCCAGGATCAAAACCGTGTCGATGTGCTATATAAGTGCCCTTTTGTGGGGCATTAATCCTCATTACTGTCATTAATGACTTAAGGGAATAGGTCCCCTAGTTGATAAGCATAGTAGCATACACATGCTTTAGCTGTCACGCAAAACACAGATTGGTAAATTGTTATTCAATAAAATCTGAGAATGTATACTATTATTTAGATCTATTATTTTTTAATTAATTTTAAAACAATTCCATGAATTGGGGTAAAACAAAAATATTCCACCTTTATGAGCGACAGTGTATTCATTACAATTAATTTCGACGTCTTTTCAAAGAATTAATTATATCATGTGACACTTCCAGTATATTTTATATTATGTTCTAATTTTGTCAAATATGTGAAATGTGAAACAAATAATATAGGATTTCCCGGCCAAATTCGCGATTTTGTCATTCAAATTAATTTGTCTTACGTTCAAATTCGACGGTTTTAGTGCAGACAGGTATACCTCGGGTTTATATTCCCTTTTCTAGTTTTCAAATCTATGGAATTTTCGTTAGAATCTACGTATGTTTCATTCAAATTATTGAACAATGTGCTTCTTTCGCTATTTGGTCATTCGATTTGGCGCAACACAATTTTCTGACAACGCGACGGTGTACTTCTAGCATTCTAATTCATTTGTAGCATTCAAATTAGCACTTTGTGCACTTTAATTGATGGTCAATATACATTTCTCGTTTATTACACACTTTTTATAGCTCATTCTTTTTCTTTCAAGATTGTTTTTTCATGTGTATTTCATCATATTTCATTTTCTTGCATTTATACACTTATACTTATTAGATTTATCTGATATTCATCAGCATTTAAGTTTGATTGTTAAGAAGAAAAAAACGACTTGCATCTACGGACCTGATGGTCTCAGTATATTTGTAAATGTGCATGTAAGGAAGTTGTTTGTCTTATGTTTCATCATAAATTTATCATAATTTCATCATAATTTCATTATGGAAGAGGGGTACAATATTGTGACTGGGGTAGGATCTAGAGTCAACAATTTGAACATGATTCATTATTTAGCCATGTCTTTAGCCATCGATCTGCTGGCGGGCAAGTAAACTATGAAAATCTTTAAGAAAAACAGAGGGGTGTGCTGGGTATAAGAGACGATGTGAATTACTTTTGTAAAATTCCGAGTCTGTAGTATACTAAAAAGGGGCGATTGAGGGTACCCCCACCTTTCCCGTGTATATGAACATGTCCGTGCAGAAATGCCATATCCCTTGATTTCGTCCCTTCTTTACTTTATGTCTGACTACATCCATCCAAAATAAATAAATGGAATAACAGCTTAGACCCCAATGACAAATCATGCATTTTAACTGCATTATTTAAAAACTGTAAAAGTTTGTTGCAATTCTTCCCCATAACATTCCTAACTTGAATACAAATATTACGAATATGAATGACAGGTGTTAATTTGAATGATAAAAATTAAGCTTCGACAAGTGAATATTAATTTGAATGCTAGTTGAGCAGTTTCTAAATTGAATGACAGATCTATGAAACCCTTCGACCAAAATCCTAAATTAAATACAAAAACTGGAAAATCGAATGATAATTGGCATGGCAAAGCCGATCTGCGCTAACTTAAATGCAAAGTAAATGAATTCGAATGACAAACACGCGAATTTGGCCGGGAAATCCTATATTGAAAAAAAAAAAAATTGAAGATTTCCATGAATGAATGGAATGCCACTAAGTGCGTAAGGTGTTTTAAGATACTCACGTTCGAATACAGTAATTGTGAACGTGCAAGACCATTCATTTTCACTTGGATCCTTGGCCACATACGTAATATCATATGTTCCTGGAGAGAACACACCCGGTCCGCGAGAAGAAGTGATTTGATATGTCGTGCCGGATTCATCTGTTGCTGTTGGAATTTGCCATGAAATGAATACCTGTGTTTGTCCACGAGGCACAGTCTCATTCAAGTTTGAAGGACAAGTAAAATCTAGAGGGGTGGTGTCAGCTGAAAGATATTGCAAAGGATAATCAATCCAGTTAAACAGAGACACAACCACATTAGTATGACTTTGCTACATAAATTCTAGAGCTACATATGACACTGAACTTAGAAATTATAATTATTAGAAAATAAATCATTTCATGTATGCTATTCCGAAAGAAAAAAACAGTCAGTCCGTCACTCAATATTCTGAAAGCGAGGTCTCGAAAGTAAACGGGTTCCCTTGCATAATTTCAATACACGGACACTGCTTATACGTTTAAATTTCGCAGATAGGACATACGTGACATGTTCATAATTCCGGCAAAATTCTACACAGAATTTGATGTTGGCTGCAAATGGGACACAGTACCTTTAAGTGACTCGGTAACATCGTTGAAGGTTGATTAAAATATTTCGTAATTTTTGTATGAAATGATACTTATAATCTTCCTTCTACTGTACCAACCATTTAACGTGCAAACAATCCTGAGAAAAGTTTAAACATTTTCAAGCCCCTCCTTTTTTTCTTTTCGTGATGTCATGCAGGCGCCATTTTGTGAAATCACATTATCAATCATATCTTCATGATGAGTCATCAAAGGTCATTCATATTCATATCACATATACTTTAGGTCAAGGGTCAACAGGTCATGTCATCAAAAGTTACATAAAGGTCACGATGCGCTCGTCAAAATTCAAAAATGCTCAAAATCACAAAACTATTAAACGAGAGTACGAATCAGGTCATTTTAAGCATTTCAAAAATCTCCGCCCGCAGCGCCTACAAAACGTAAACACGCCGTTTTTAGCATGGTTTGCATCAGCACCATTATCATCATCATCATGATCACCATCACGACCATCATCATCATGATCATCATCACCAAAATTATCATGATCATGATCATTATCTTTATAATCATTATCATGATCATCATCTATTCATCATCATGATCATCAAGGAGTTAATTTCATTATGGTCATGATTTTGATCATAATTATTTCTTGATATTTTGTTCATCAGTTAAGTTATCACTTCAGTTCAGGTCAATCAGTTCAATCTATCAGTTTATCAGTACTTCATTCATCAGTCCATATCTTAATACATAATATTACATTAACATCATTATATTGGATCATTGAATTGAAGATGAGCATGATCATAAGAATTGAAGACAGACCACCTAATTCGTCCTCATGACGATTTAAATCACTAGTTATTATTTATTTTTATTTCTCCACTTTTTGTGCACAGGATAACTCAACATCAGTTACTTAGGTCAATTTATTTTAATTTTGGTACAGTCATAGATCATTGTCATAAGACGTGTCATAAAACAACAGAAAATGAAATAAATTGTCAATAATTTATTGCTTTTACCCCGGTTCCCAACATAAACAAATCTTCTGTGTGCCCATGCCTTGAGCCATAATGCATGGCCGTCCAGAGGATTTTTTTTGATGTTGGAGACCGGGGTAAAATGCACTAAATTATTGCAAATTTATTGCATTTTCTGTTTTTTTTTTATTGTTGGAAACTGCCCCCTACCCTAGCCCCCGCTGCGTACAGTCATGGTTCAGTGACAAAGCAATGGCCTCGTAACTGTGAGGCCCCAGGATCAAAACCGTGTCGATGTGCTATATAAGTGCCCTTTTGTGGGGCATTAATCCTCATTACTGTCATTTATGACTTAAGGGAATAGGTCCCCTAGTTGATAAGCATAGTAGCATACACATGCTTTAGCTGTCACGCAAAACATAGATTGGCAAATTGTTATTCAATAAAATCTGAGAATTTATACTATTATTTAGACCTATTATTTTTTAATTAATTTTAAAACAATTTTATAAATTGGGGTAAAAAAAAAATATTCCACCTTTATGAGCGACAGTGTATTCATTACAATTAATTTCGACGTCTTTTCAAAGAATTAATTATATCATGTGACACTTTTAGTATATTTTATATTATGTTCTAATTTTGTCAATTATGTGAAATGTGAAACAAATAAAACTTGAAAAAAAACAACTTGAAGATTCCCATGAATGAATGGAATGCCACCAAGTGCGTAAAGGTGTTTTAAGATACTCACGTTCGAATACAGTAATTGTGAACGTGCAAGACCATTCATTTTCACTTGGATCCTTGGCCACATACGTAATATCATATGTTCCTGGAGAGAACACACCTGGTCCGCGAGAAGAAGTGATTTGATATGTCGTGCCGGATTCATCTGTTGCTGTTGGAATTTGCCATGAAATGAATACCTGTGTTTGTCCACGAGGCACAGTCTCATTCAAGTTTGAAGGACAAGTAAAATCTAGAGGGGTGGTGTCAGCTGAAAGATATTGCAAAGGATAATCAATCCAGTTAAACAGAGACACAACCACATTAGTATGACTTTGCTACATAAATTCTAGAGCTACATATGACACTGAACTTAGAAATTATAATTATTAGAAAATAAATCATTTCATGTTTGTTATTCCGAAAGAAAAAACAGTCAGTCCGTCACTCAATATTCTGAAAGCGAGGTCTAGAAAGTAAACGGGTTCCCTTGCATAATTTCAATACACGGACACTGCTTATACGTTTAAATTTCGCAGATAGGACATACGTGACATGTTCATAATTCCGGCAAAATTCTACACAGAATTTGATGTTGGCTGCAAATGGGACACAGTACCTTTAAGTGACTCGGTAACATCGTTGAAGGTTGATTAAAATATTTCGTAATTTTTGTATGAAATGATACTTATAATCTTCCTTCTACTGTACCAACCATTTAACGTGCAAACAATCCTGAAAAAAGTTTAAACATTTTCAAGCCCCTCCTTTTTTTTCTTTTCGTGATGTCATGCAGGCGCCATTTTGTGAAATCACATTATCAATCATATCTTCATGAAGAGTCATCAAAGGTCATTCATATTCATATCACATATACTTTAGGTCAAGGGTCAACAGGTCATGTCATCAAAAGTTACATAAAGGTCACGATGCGCTCGTCAAAATTCAAAAATGCTCAAAATCACAAAACTATTATACGAGAGTACGAATCAGATCATTTTAAGCATTTCAAAAATCTCCACCCGCAGCGCCTACAAAAAGTAAACACGCCGTTTTTTAGCATGGTTTGCATCAGCACCATTATCATAATAATAATAATAATAAAAACGTTACTTATAAAGCGCTTACCACCGAAGTCTCTAAGCGCTATACACACAAAATAGACTGATATACAATTACATCTTATACAAAACTAAAATGCAAATAAACCTACAAATTACAATACATATGGAATACACATCAAAGTGAACAGAGTTAATTAATCATCGAACGCAATTTTAAATAAATGTGTCTTGAGACTAGTTTTGAATAGGTTAACGGTTTGACAGTTTTTTACATTTAAAGGTAATCTGTTCCAAAGTTCAGCAGAAGCTTTGCGAAAGGAGCGATTACCATAAGAGAGAGTTGACACAGAAGTAGATACGAGGTTTAATTGTGAAGAAGACCGTAAATTGCGTGAGGGTTTGTATTCCTCGATTAATTCTTGCAGATAAATTGGTGCCAATTCATGAATGCATTTATAAGTTAAAACTAAGATTTTGTACATAATGCGGTATGTCACCGGCAACCAATGCAATTCGCGAAGTACTGGGGTGATGTGTTCACAAGAACGCGTGCGTGTTACAAGCCTGGCAGCAGAGTTTTGGATTCTCTGGAGTTTTGCAATGTGCGACTCCGGAAGGCCATAAAGAAGGCTGTTGCATTGATCAAGACGGCATGTAATAAATGCATGTATAAGCGTTTCGGTAGATTTTTTATCAAGAAAATTTCTAATACGACCTATCTTGTACAAGGCATATGAAGCTGAGCGACAAATATTTTTTATATAATCATCCATCCTAAGATCATTTTCATCATCATCATGATCACCATCACGACCATCATCATCATCATCATCACCAAAATTATCATGATCATGATCATTATCTTTATAATCATTATCATGATCATCATCTATTCATCATCATGATCATCAAGGAGTTAATTTCATTATGGTCATGATTTTGATCATAATTATTTCTTGATATTTTGTTCATCAGTTAAGTTATCATTTCAGTTCAGGTCCAATCAGTTCAATCTATCAGTTCATCAGTACTTCATTCATCAGTCCATATCTTAATATATAATATTACATTAACATCATTATATTGGATCATTGAATTGAAGATGAGCATGATCATAAGAATTGAAGACAGACCACCTAATTCGTCCTCATGACGATTTAAATTTCTAGTTATTATTTATTTTTATTTCTCCACTTTTTGTGCACAGGATAACTCAACATCAGTTACTTAGGTCAATTTATTTTAATTTTGGTACAGTCATAGATCATTGTCATAAGACGTGTCATAAAACAACAGAAAATGAAATAAATTGTCAATAATTTATTGCTTTTACCCCGGTTCCCAACATAAACAAATCTTCTGTGTGCCCATTCCTTGAGCCATAATGCATGGCCGTCCAGAGGATTTTTTTTGATGTTGGAGACCGGGGTAAAATGCACTAAATTATTGCAAATTTATTGCATTTTCTGTTTTTTTTTTTATTGTTGGAAACTGCCCCCTACCCTAGCCCCCGCTGCGTACAGTCATGGTTCAGTGACAAAGCAATGGCCTCGTAACTGTGAGGCCCCAGGATCAAAACCGTGTCGATGTGCTATATAAGTGCCCTTTTGTGGGGCATTAATCCTCATTACTGTCATTTATGACTTAAGGAAATAGGTCCCCTAGTTGATAAGCATAGTAGCATACACATGCTTTAGCTGTCACGCAAAACATAGATTGGCAAATTGTTATTCAATAAAATCTGAGAATTTATACTATTATTTAGACCTATTATTTTTTAATTAATTTTAAAACAATTTTATAAATTGGGGTAAAAAAAAAATATTCCACCTTTATGAGCGACAGTGTATTCATTACAATTAATTTCGACGTCTTTTCAATGAATTAATTATATCATGTGACACTTTTAGTATATTTTATATTATGTTCTAATTTTGTCAATTATGTGAAATGTGAAACAAATAAAACTTGAAAAAAAAAAACTTGAAGATTCCCATGAATGAATGGAATGCCACCAAGTGCGTAAAGGTGTTTTAAGATACTCACGTTCGAATACAGTAATTGTGAACGTGCAAGACCATTCATTTTCACTTGGATCCTTGGCCACATACGTAATATCATATGTTCCTGGAGAGAACACACCTGGTCCGCGAGAAGAAGTGATTTGATATGTCGTGCCGGATTCATCTGTTGCTGTTGGAATTTGCCATGAAATGAATACCTGTGTTTGTCCACGAGGCACAGTCTCATTCAAGTTTGAAGGACAAGTAAAATCTAGAGGGGTGGTGTCAGCTGAAAGATATTGCAAAGGATAATCAATCCAGTTAAACAGAGACACAACCACATTAGTATGACTTTGCTACATAAATTCTAGAGCTACATATGACACTGAACTTAGAAATTATAATTATTAGAAAATAAATCATTTCATGTTTGTTATTCCGAAAGAAAAAACAGTCAGTCCGTCACTCAATATTCTGAAAGCGAGGTCTAGAAAGTAAACGGGTTCCCTTGCATAATTTCAATACACGGACACTGCTTATACGTTTAAATTTCGCAGATAGGACATACGTGACATGTTCATAATTCCGGCAAAATTCTACACAGAATTTGATGTTGGCTGCAAATGGGACACAGTACCTTTAAGTGACTCGGTAACATCGTTGAAGGTTGATTAAAATATTTCGTAATTTTTGTATGAAATGATACTTATAATCTTCCTTCTACTGTACCAACCATTTAACGTGCAAACAATCCTGAAAAAAGTTTAAACATTTTCAAGCCCCTCCTTTTTTTTCTTTTCGTGATGTCATGCAGGCGCCATTTTGTGAAATCACATTATCAATCATATCTTCATGAAGAGTCATCAAAGGTCATTCATATTCATATCACATATACTTTAGGTCAAGGGTCAACAGGTCATGTCATCAAAAGTTACATAAAGGTCACGATGCGCTCGTCAAAATTCAAAAATGCTCAAAATCACAAAACTATTATACGAGAGTACGAATCAGATCATTTTAAGCATTTCAAAAATCTCCACCCGCAGCGCCTACAAAAAGTAAACACGCCGTTTTTTTAGCATGGTTTGCATCAGCACCATTATCATCATCATCATGATCACCATCACGACCATCATCATCATCATCATCACCAAAATTATCATGATCATGATCATTATCTTTATAATCATTATCATGATCATCATTTATTCATCATCATGATCATCAAGGAGTTAATTTCATTATGGTCATGATTTTGATCATAATTATTTCTTGATATTTTGTTCATCAGTTAAGTTATCATTTCAGTTCAGGTCCAATCAGTTCAATCTATCAGTTCATCAGTACTTCATTCATCAGTCCATATCTTAATATATAATATTACATTAACATCATTATATTGGATCATTGAATTGAAGATGAGCATGATCATAAGAATTGAAGACAGACCACCTAATTCGTCCTCATGACGATTTAAATTTCTAGTTATTATTTATTTTTATTTCTCCACTTTTTGTGCACAGGATAACTCAACATCAGTTACTTACTATAGGTCAATTTATTTTAATTTTGGTACAGTCATAGATCATTGTCATAAGACGTGTCATAAAACAACAGAAAATAAATAAATTTTCAATAATTTATTGCTTTTACCCCGGTTCCCAACATAAACAAATCTTCTGTGTGCCCATGCCTTGAGCCATAATGCATGGCCGTCCAGAGGATTTTTTTTGATGTTGGAGACCGGGGTAAAATGCACTAAATTATTGCAAATTTATTGCATTTTCTGTGTTTTTTTATTGTTGGAAACTGCCCCCTACCCTAGCCCCCGCTGCGTACAGTCATGGTTCAGTGACAAAGCAATGGCCTCGTAACTGTGAGGCCCCAGGATCAAAACCGTGTCGATGTGCGATATAAGTGCCCTTTTGTGGGGCATTAATCCTCATTACTGTCATTTATGACTTAAGGGAATAGGTCCCCTAGTTGATAAGCATAGTAGCATACACATGCTTTAGCTGTCACGCAAAACACAGATTGGCAAATTGTTATTCAATAAAATCTGAGAATGTATACTATTATTTAGATCTATTATTTTTTAATTAATTTGAAAACAATTCCATGAATTGGGGTAAAACAAAAATATTCCACCTTCATGAGCGACAGTGTATTCATTACAATTAATTTCGACGTCTTTTCAAAGAATTAATTATATCATGTGACACTTCCAGTATATTTTATATTATGTTCTAATTTTGTCAAATATGTGAAATGTGAAACAAATAGAACTTGAAAAAAAAAAATTGAAGATTTCCATGAATGAATGGAATGCCACCAAGTGCGTAAAGGTGTTTTAAGATACTCACGTTCGAATACAGTAATTGTGAACGTGCAAGACCATTCATTTTCACTTGGATCCTTGGCCACATACGTAATATCATATGTTCCTGGAGAGAACACACCCGGTCCGCGAGAAGAAGTGATTTGATATGTCGTGCCGGATTCATCTGTTGCTGTTGGAATTTGCCATGAAATGAATACCTGTGTTTGTCCACGAGGCACAGTCTCATTCAAGTTTGAAGGACAAGTAAAATCTAGAGGGGTGGTGTCAGCTGAAAGATATTGCAAAGGATAATCAATCCAGTTAAACAGAGACACAACCACATTAGTATGACTTTGCTACATAAATTCTAGAGCTACATATGACACTGAACTTAGAAATTATAATTATTAGAAAATAAATCATTTCATGTATGCTATTCTGAAAGAAAAAACAGTCAGTCCGTCACTCAATATTCTGAAAGCGAGGTCTCGAAAGTAAACGGGTTCCCTTGCATAATTTCAATACACAGACACTGCTTATACGTTTAAATTTCGCAGATAGGACATACGTGACATGTTCATAATTCCGGCAAAATTCTACACAGAATTTGATGTTGGCTGCAAATGGGACACAGTACCTTTAAGTGACTCGGTAACATCGTTGAAGGTTGATTAAAAAATTTCGGATTTTTTGTATGAAATGATACTTATAATCTTCCTTCTACTGTACCAACCATTTAACGTGCAAACAATCCTGAAAAAAAGTTAAAACATTTTCAAGCCCCTCCTTTTTTTCTTTGCGTGATGTCATGCAGGCGCCATTTTGTGAAATCACATTATCAATCATATCTTCATCATGAGTCACCAAAGGTCATTCATATTCATATCACATATACTTTAGGTCAAGGGTCAACAGGTCATGTCATCAAAAGTTACATAAAGGTCACGATGCGCTCGTCAAAATTCAAAAATGCTCAAAATCACAAAACTATTAAACGAGAGTACGAATCAGGTCATTTTAAGCATTTCAAAAATCTCCGCCCGCAGCGCCTACAAAACGTAAACACGCCGTTTTTTAGCATGGTTTGCATCAGCACCATTATCATCATCATCATGATCACCATCACGACCATCATCATCATGATCATCATCACAAAAATTATCATGATCATGATCATTATCTTTATAATCATTATCATGATCATCATCTATTCATCATCATGATCATCAAGGAGTTAATTTCATTATGGTCATGATTTTGATCATAATTATTTCTTGATATTTTGTTCATCAGTTAAGTTATCACTTCAGTTCAGGTCCAATCAGTTCAATCTATCAGTTCATCAGTACTTCATTCATCAGTCCATATCTTAATACATAATACTACATTAACATCATTATATTGGATCATTGAATTGAAGATGAGCATGATCATAAGAATTGAAGACAGACCACCTAATTCGTCCTCATGACGATTTAAATCACTATTTATTATTTATTTTTATTTCTCCACTTTTTGTGACAGGATAACTCAACATCAGTTCTTAGGTCAATTTATTTTAATTTTGGTACAGTCATAGATCATTGTCATAAGACGTGTCATAAAACAACAGAAAATGAAATAAATTGTCAATAATTTATTGCTTTTACCCCGGTTCCCAGAGGATTTTTTTTGATGTTGGAGACCGGGGTAAAATGCACTAAATTATTGCAAATTTATTGCATTTTCTGTGTTTTTTTTATTTATGGAAACTGCCCCCTACCCTAGCCCCCGCTGCGTACAGTCATGGTTCAGTGACAAAGCAATGGCCTCGTAACTGTGAGGCCCCAGGATCAAAACCGTGTCGATGTGCTATATAAGTGCCCTTTTGTGGGGCATTAATCCTCATTACTGTCATTAATGACTTAAGGGAATAGGTCCCCTAGTTGATAAGCATAGTAGCATACACATGCTTTAGCTGTCACGCAAAACACAGATTGGTAAATTGTTATTCAATAAAATCTGAGAATGTATACTATTATTTAGATCTATTATTTTTTAATTAATTTTAAAACAATTCCATAAATTGGGGTAAAACAAAAATATTCCACCTTTATGAGCGACAGTGTATTCATTACAATTAATTTCGACGTCTTTTCAAAGAATTAATTATATCATGTGACACTTCCAGTATATTTTATATTATGTTCTAATTTTGTCAAATATGTGAAATGTGAAACAAATAATATAGGATTTCCCGGCCAAATTCGCGATTTTGTCATTCAAATTAATTTGTCTTACGTTCAAATTCGACGGTTTTAGTGCAGACAGGTATACCTCGGGTTTATATTCCCTTTTCTAGTTTTCAAATCTATGGAATTTTCGTTAGAATCTACGTATGTTTCATTCAAATTATTGAACAATGTGCTTCTTTCGCTATTTGGTCATTCGATTTGGCGCAACACAATTTTCTGACAACGCGACGGTGTACTTCTAGCATTCTAATTCATTTGTAGCATTCAAATTAGCACTTTGTGCACTTTAATTGATGGTCAATATACATTTCTCGTTTATTACACACTTTTTATAGCTCATTCTTTTTCTTTCAAGATTGTTTTTTCATGTGTATTTCATCATATTTCATTTTCTTGCATTTATACACTTATACTTATTAGATTTATCTGATATTCATCAGCATTTAAGTTTGATTGTTAAGAAGAAAAAAACGACTTGCATCTACGGACCTGATGGTCTCAGTATATTTGTAAATGTGCATGTAAGGAAGTTGTTTGTCTTATGTTTCATCATAAATTTATCATAATTTCATCATAATTTCATTATGGAAGAGGGGTACAATATTGTGACTGGGGTAGGATCTAGAGTCAACAATTTGAACATGATTCATTATTTAGCCATGTCTTTAGCCATCGATCTGCTGGCGGGCAAGTAAACTATGAAAATCTTTAAGAAAAACAGAGGGGTGTGCTGGGTATAAGAGACGATGTGAATTACTTTTGTAAAATTCCGAGTCTGTAGTATACTAAAAAGGGGCGATTGAGGGTACCCCCACCTTTCCCGTGTATATGAACATGTCCGTGCAGAAATGCCATATCCCTTGATTTCGTCCCTTCTTTACTTTATGTCTGACTACATCCATCCAAAATAAATAAATGGAATAACAGCTTAGACCCCAATGACAAATCATGCATTTTAACTGCATTATTTAAAAACTGTAAAAGTTTGTTGCAATTCTTCCCCATAACATTCCTAACTTGAATACAAATATTACGAATATGAATGACAGGTGTTAATTTGAATGATAAAAATTAAGCTTCGACAAGTGAATATTAATTTGAATGCTAGTTGAGCAGTTTCTAAATTGAATGACAGATCTATGAAACCCTTCGACCAAAATCCTAAATTAAATACAAAAACTGGAAAATCGAATGATAATTGGCATGGCAAAGCCGATCTGCGCTAACTTAAATGCAAAGTAAATGAATTCGAATGACAAACACGCGAATTTGGCCGGGAAATCCTATATTGAAAAAAAAAAAAATTGAAGATTTCCATGAATGAATGGAATGCCACTAAGTGCGTAAGGTGTTTTAAGATACTCACGTTCGAATACAGTAATTGTGAACGTGCAAGACCATTCATTTTCACTTGGATCCTTGGCCACATACGTAATATCATATGTTCCTGGAGAGAACACACCCGGTCCGCGAGAAGAAGTGATTTGATATGTCGTGCCGGATTCATCTGTTGCTGTTGGAATTTGCCATGAAATGAATACCTGTGTTTGTCCACGAGGCACAGTCTCATTCAAGTTTGAAGGACAAGTAAAATCTAGAGGGGTGGTGTCAGCTGAAAGATATTGCAAAGGATAATCAATCCAGTTAAACAGAGACACAACCACATTAGTATGACTTTGCTACATAAATTCTAGAGCTACATATGACACTGAACTTAGAAATTATAATTATTAGAAAATAAATCATTTCATGTATGCTATTCCGAAAGAAAAAAACAGTCAGTCCGTCACTCAATATTCTGAAAGCGAGGTCTCGAAAGTAAACGGGTTCCCTTGCATAATTTCAATACACGGACACTGCTTATACGTTTAAATTTCGCAGATAGGACATACGTGACATGTTCATAATTCCGGCAAAATTCTACACAGAATTTGATGTTGGCTGCAAATGGGACACAGTACCTTTAAGTGACTCGGTAACATCGTTGAAGGTTGATTAAAATATTTCGTAATTTTTGTATGAAATGATACTTATAATCTTCCTTCTACTGTACCAACCATTTAACGTGCAAACAATCCTGAGAAAAGTTTAAACATTTTCAAGCCCCTCCTTTTTTTCTTTTCGTGATGTCATGCAGGCGCCATTTTGTGAAATCACATTATCAATCATATCTTCATGATGAGTCATCAAAGGTCATTCATATTCATATCACATATACTTTAGGTCAAGGGTCAACAGGTCATGTCATCAAAAGTTACATAAAGGTCACGATGCGCTCGTCAAAATTCAAAAATGCTCAAAATCACAAAACTATTAAACGAGAGTACGAATCAGGTCATTTTAAGCATTTCAAAAATCTCCGCCCGCAGCGCCTACAAAACGTAAACACGCCGTTTTTAGCATGGTTTGCATCAGCACCATTATCATCATCATCATGATCACCATCACGACCATCATCATCATGATCATCATCACCAAAATTATCATGATCATGATCATTATCTTTATAATCATTATCATGATCATCATCTATTCATCATCATGATCATCAAGGAGTTAATTTCATTATGGTCATGATTTTGATCATAATTATTTCTTGATATTTTGTTCATCAGTTAAGTTATCACTTCAGTTCAGGTCAATCAGTTCAATCTATCAGTTTATCAGTACTTCATTCATCAGTCCATATCTTAATACATAATATTACATTAACATCATTATATTGGATCATTGAATTGAAGATGAGCATGATCATAAGAATTGAAGACAGACCACCTAATTCGTCCTCATGACGATTTAAATCACTAGTTATTATTTATTTTTATTTCTCCACTTTTTGTGCACAGGATAACTCAACATCAGTTACTTAGGTCAATTTATTTTAATTTTGGTACAGTCATAGATCATTGTCATAAGACGTGTCATAAAACAACAGAAAATGAAATAAATTGTCAATAATTTATTGCTTTTACCCCGGTTCCCAACATAAACAAATCTTCTGTGTGCCCATGCCTTGAGCCATAATGCATGGCCGTCCAGAGGATTTTTTTTGATGTTGGAGACCGGGGTAAAATGCACTAAATTATTGCAAATTTATTGCATTTTCTGTTTTTTTTTTATTGTTGGAAACTGCCCCCTACCCTAGCCCCCGCTGCGTACAGTCATGGTTCAGTGACAAAGCAATGGCCTCGTAACTGTGAGGCCCCAGGATCAAAACCGTGTCGATGTGCTATATAAGTGCCCTTTTGTGGGGCATTAATCCTCATTACTGTCATTTATGACTTAAGGGAATAGGTCCCCTAGTTGATAAGCATAGTAGCATACACATGCTTTAGCTGTCACGCAAAACATAGATTGGCAAATTGTTATTCAATAAAATCTGAGAATTTATACTATTATTTAGACCTATTATTTTTTAATTAATTTTAAAACAATTTTATAAATTGGGGTAAAAAAAAAATATTCCACCTTTATGAGCGACAGTGTATTCATTACAATTAATTTCGACGTCTTTTCAAAGAATTAATTATATCATGTGACACTTTTAGTATATTTTATATTATGTTCTAATTTTGTCAATTATGTGAAATGTGAAACAAATAAAACTTGAAAAAAAAAAACTTGAAGATTCCCATGAATGAATGGAATGCCACCAAGTGCGTAAAGGTGTTTTAAGATACTCACGTTCGAATACAGTAATTGTGAACGTGCAAGACCATTCATTTTCACTTGGATCCTTGGCCACATACGTAATATCATATGTTCCTGGAGAGAACACACCTGGTCCGCGAGAAGAAGTGATTTGATATGTCGTGCCGGATTCATCTGTTGCTGTTGGAATTTGCCATGAAATGAATACCTGTGTTTGTCCACGAGGCACAGTCTCATTCAAGTTTGAAGGACAAGTAAAATCTAGAGGGGTGGTGTCAGCTGAAAGATATTGCAAAGGATAATCAATCCAGTTAAACAGAGACACAACCACATTAGTATGACTTTGCTACATAAATTCTAGAGCTACATATGACACTGAACTTAGAAATTATAATTATTAGAAAATAAATCATTTCATGTTTGTTATTCCGAAAGAAAAAACAGTCAGTCCGTCACTCAATATTCTGAAAGCGAGGTCTAGAAAGTAAACGGGTTCCCTTGCATAATTTCAATACACGGACACTGCTTATACGTTTAAATTTCGCAGATAGGACATACGTGACATGTTCATAATTCCGGCAAAATTCTACACAGAATTTGATGTTGGCTGCAAATGGGACACAGTACCTTTAAGTGACTCGGTAACATCGTTGAAGGTTGATTAAAATATTTCGTAATTTTTGTATGAAATGATACTTATAATCTTCCTTCTACTGTACCAACCATTTAACGTGCAAACAATCCTGAAAAAAGTTTAAACATTTTCAAGCCCCTCCTTTTTTTTCTTTTCGTGATGTCATGCAGGCGCCATTTTGTGAAATCACATTATCAATCATATCTTCATGAAGAGTCATCAAAGGTCATTCATATTCATATCACATATACTTTAGGTCAAGGGTCAACAGGTCATGTCATCAAAAGTTACATAAAGGTCACGATGCGCTCGTCAAAATTCAAAAATGCTCAAAATCACAAAACTATTATACGAGAGTACGAATCAGATCATTTTAAGCATTTCAAAAATCTCCACCCGCAGCGCCTACAAAAAGTAAACACGCCGTTTTTTTAGCATGGTTTGCATCAGCACCATTATCATCATCATCATGATCACCATCATGACCATCATCATCATCATCATCACCAAAATTATCATGATCATGATCATTATCTTTATAATCATTATCATGATCATCATTTATTCATCATCATGATCATCAAGGAGTTAATTTCATTATGGTCATGATTTTGATCATAATTATTTCTTGATATTTTGTTCATCAGTTAAGTTATCATTTCAGTTCAGGTCCAATCAGTTCAATCTATCAGTTCATCAGTACTTCATTCATCAGTCCATATCTTAATATATAATATTACATTAACATCATTATATTGGATCATTGAATTGAAGATGAGCATGATCATAAGAATTGAAGACAGACCACCTAATTCGTCCTCATGACGATTTAAATTTCTAGTTATTATTTATTTTTATTTCTCCACTTTTTGTGCACAGGATAACTCAACATCAGTTACTTAGGTCAATTTATTTTAATTTTGGTACAGTCATAGATCATTGTCATAAGACGTGTCATAAAACAACAGAAAATGAAATAAATTGTCAATAATTTATTGCTTTTACCCCGGTTCCCAACATAAACAAATCTTCTGTGTGCCCATTCCTTGAGCCATAATGCATGGCCGTCCAGAGGATTTTTTTTGATGTTGGAGACCGGGGTAAAATGCACTAAATTATTGCAAATTTATTGCATTTTCTGTTTTTTTTTTTATTGTTGGAAACTGCCCCCTACCCTAGCCCCCGCTGCGTACAGTCATGGTTCAGTGACAAAGCAATGGCCTCGTAACTGTGAGGCCCCAGGATCAAAACCGTGTCGATGTGCTATATAAGTGCCCTTTTGTGGGGCATTAATCCTCATTACTGTCATTTATGACTTAAGGGAATAGGTCCCCTAGTTGATAAGCATAGTAGCATACACATGCTTTAGCTGTCACGCAAAACATAGATTGGCAAATTGTTATTCAATAAAATCTGAGAATTTATACTATTATTTAGACCTATTATTTTTTAATTAATTTTAAAACAATTTTATAAATTGGGGTAAAAAAAAAATATTCCACCTTTATGAGCGACAGTGTATTCATTACAATTAATTTCGACGTCTTTTCAATGAATTAATTATATCATGTGACACTTTTAGTATATTTTATATTATGTTCTAATTTTGTCAATTATGTGAAATGTGAAACAAATAAAACTTGAAAAAAAAAACTTGAAGATTCCCATGAATGAATGGAATGCCACCAAGTGCGTAAAGGTGTTTTAAGATACTCACGTTCGAATACAGTAATTGTGAACGTGCAAGACCATTCATTTTCACTTGGATCCTTGGCCACATACGTAATATCATATGTTCCTGGAGAGAACACACCTGGTCCGCGAGAAGAAGTGATTTGATATGTCGTGCCGGATTCATCTGTTGCTGTTGGAATTTGCCATGAAATGAATACCTGTGTTTGTCCACGAGGCACAGTCTCATTCAAGTTTGAAGGACAAGTAAAATCTAGAGGGGTGGTGTCAGCTGAAAGATATTGCAAAGGATAATCAATCCAGTTAAACAGAGACACAACCACATTAGTATGACTTTGCTACATAAATTCTAGAGCTACATATGACACTGAACTTAGAAATTATAATTATTAGAAAATAAATCATTTCATGTTTGTTATTCCGAAAGAAAAAACAGTCAGTCCGTCACTCAATATTCTGAAAGCGAGGTCTAGAAAGTAAACGGGTTCCCTTGCATAATTTCAATACACGGACACTGCTTATACGTTTAAATTTCGCAGATAGGACATACGTGACATGTTCATAATTCCGGCAAAATTCTACACAGAATTTGATGTTGGCTGCAAATGGGACACAGTACCTTTAAGTGACTCGGTAACATCGTTGAAGGTTGATTAAAATATTTCGTAATTTTTGTATGAAATGATACTTATAATCTTCCTTCTACTGTACCAACCATTTAACGTGCAAACAATCCTGAAAAAAGTTTAAACATTTTCAAGCCCCTCCTTTTTTTTCTTTTCGTGATGTCATGCAGGCGCCATTTTGTGAAATCACATTATCAATCATATCTTCATGAAGAGTCATCAAAGGTCATTCATATTCATATCACATATACTTTAGGTCAAGGGTCAACAGGTCATGTCATCAAAAGTTACATAAAGGTCACGATGCGCTCGTCAAAATTCAAAAATGCTCAAAATCACAAAACTATTATACGAGAGTACGAATCAGATCATTTTAAGCATTTCAAAAATCTCCACCCGCAGCGCCTACAAAAAGTAAACACGCCGTTTTTTAGCATGGTTTGCATCAGCACCATTATCATCATCATCATGATCACCATCACGACCATCATCATCATCATCATCACCAAAATTATCATGATCATGATCATTATCTTTATAATCATTATCATGATCATCATTTATTCATCATCATGATCATCAAGGAGTTAATTTCATTATGGTCATGATTTTGATCATAATTATTTCTTGATATTTTGTTCATCAGTTAAGTTATCATTTCAGTTCAGGTCCAATCAGTTCAATCTATCAGTTCATCAGTACTTCATTCATCAGTCCATATCTTAATATATAATATTACATTAACATCATTATATTGGATCATTGAATTGAAGATGAGCATGATCATAAGAATTGAAGACAGACCACCTAATTCGTCCTCATGACGATTTAAATTTCTAGTTATTATTTATTTTTATTTCTCCACTTTTTGTGCACAGGATAACTCAACATCAGTTACTTAGGTCAATTTATTTTAATTTTGGTACAGTCATAGATCATTGTCATAAGACGTGTCATAAAACAACAGAAAATGAAATAAATTGTCAATAATTTATTGCTTTTACCCCGGTTCCCAACATAAACAAATCTTCTGTGTGCCCATTCCTTGAGCCATAATGCATGGCCGTCCAGAGGATTTTTTTTGATGTTGGAGACCGGGGTAAAATGCACTAAATTATTGCAAATTTATTGCATTTTCTGTTTTTTTTTTTATTGTTGGAAACTGCCCCCTACCCTAGCCCCCGCTGCGTACAGTCATGGTTCAGTGACAAAGCAATGGCCTCGTAACTGTGAGGCCCCAGGATCAAAACCGTGTCGATGTGCTATATAAGTGCCCTTTTGTGGGGCATTAATCCTCATTACTGTCATTTATGACTTAAGGGAATAGGTCCCCTAGTTGATAAGCATAGTAGCATACACATGCTTTAGCTGTCACGCAAAACATAGATTGGCAAATTGTTATTCAATAAAATCTGAGAATTTATACTATTATTTAGACCTATTATTTTTTAATTAATTTTAAAACAATTTTATAAATTGGGGTAAAAAAAAAATATTCCACCTTTATGAGCGACAGTGTATTCATTACAATTAATTTCGACGTCTTTTCAATGAATTAATTATATCATGTGACACTTTTAGTATATTTTATATTATGTTCTAATTTTGTCAATTATGTGAAATGTGAAACAAATAAAACTTGAAAAAAAAAAACTTGAAGATTCCCATGAATGAATAGATGCCACCAAGTGCGTAAAGGTGTTTTAAGATACTCACGTTCGAATACAGTAATTGTGAACGTGCAAGACCATTCATTTTCACTTGGATCCTTGGCCACATACGTAACATCATATGTTCCTGGAGAGAACACACCTGGTCCGCGAGAAGAAGTGATTTGATATGTCGTGCCGGATTCATCTGTTGCTGTTGGAATTTGCCATGAAATGAATACCTGTGTTTGTCCACGAGGCACAGTCTCATTCAAGTTTGAAGGACAAGTAAAATCTAGAGGGGTGGTGTCAGCTGAAAGATATTGCAAAGGATAATCAATCCAGTTAAACAGAGACACAACCACATTAGTATGACTTTGCTACATAAATTCTAGAGCTACATATGACACTGAACTTAGAAATTATAATTATTAGAAAATAAATCATTTCATGTTTGTTATTCCGAAAGAAAAAACAGTCAGTCCGTCACTCAATATTCTGAAAGCGAGGTCTAGAAAGTAAACGGGTTCCCTTGCATAATTTCAATACACGGACACTGCTTATACGTTTAAATTTCGCAGATAGGACATACGTGACATGTTCATAATTCCGGCAAAATTCTACACAGAATTTGATGTTGGCTGCAAATGGGACACAGTACCTTTAAGTGACTCGGTAACATCGTTGAAGGTTGATTAAAATATTTCGTAATTTTTGTATGAAATGATACTTATAATCTTCCTTCTACTGTACCAACCATTTAACGTGCAAACAATCCTGAAAAAAGTTTAAACATTTTCAAGCCCCTCCTTTTTTTTCTTTTCGTGATGTCATGCAGGCGCCATTTTGTGAAATCACATTATCAATCATATCTTCATGAAGAGTCATCAAAGGTCATTCATATTCATATCACATATACTTTAGGTCAAGGGTCAACAGGTCATGTCATCAAAAGTTACATAAAGGTCACGATGCGCTCGTCAAAATTCAAAAATGCTCAAAATCACAAAACTATTATACGAGAGTACGAATCAGATCATTTTAAGCATTTCAAAAATCTCCACCCGCAGCGCCTACAAAAAGTAAACACGCCGTTTTTTTAGCATGGTTTGCATCAGCACCATTATCATCATCATCATGATCACCATCACGACCATCATCATCATCATCATCACCAAAATTATCATGATCATGATCATTATCTTTATAATCATTATCATGATCATCATTTATTCATCATCATGATCATCAAGGAGTTAATTTCATTATGGTCATGATTTTGATCATAATTATTTCTTGATATTTTGTTCATCAGTTAAGTTATCATTTCAGTTCAGGTCCAATCAGTTCAATCTATCAGTTCATCAGTACTTCATTCATCAGTCCATATCTTAATATATAATATTACATTAACATCATTATATTGGATCATTGAATTGAAGATGAGCATGATCATAAGAATTGAAGACAGACCACCTAATTCGTCCTCATGACGATTTAAATTTCTAGTTATTATTTATTTTTATTTCTCCACTTTTTGTGCACAGGATAACTCAACATCAGTTACTTAGGTCAATTTATTTTAATTTTGGTACAGTCATAGATCATTGTCATAAGACGTGTCATAAAACAACAGAAAATAAAATAAATTTTCAATAATTTATTGCTTTTACCCCGGTTCCCAACATAAACAAATCTTCTGTGTGCCCATTCCTTGAGCCATAATGCATGGCCGTCCAGAGGATTTTTTTTGATGTTGGAGACCGGGGTAAAATGCACTAAATTATTGCAAATTTATTGCATTTTCTGTTTTTTTTTTATTGTTGGAAACTGCCCCCTACCCTAGCCCCCGCTGCGTACAGTCATGGTTCAGTGACAAAGCAATGGCCTCGTAACTGTGAGGCCCCAGGATCAAAACCGTGTCGATGTGCTATATAAGTGCCCTTTTGTGGGGCATTAATCCTCATTACTGTCATTTATGACTTAAGGGAATAGGTCCCCTAGTTGATAAGCATAGTAGCATACACATGCTTTAGCTGTCACGCAAAACATAGATTGGCAAATTGTTATTCAATAAAATCTGAGAATTTATACTATTATTTAGACCTATTATTTTTTAATTAATTTTAAAACAATTTTATAAATTGGGGTAAAAAAAAAATATTCCACCTTTATGAGCGACAGTGTATTCATTACAATTAATTTCGACGTCTTTTCAATGAATTAATTATATCATGTGACACTTTTAGTATATTTTATATTATGTTCTAATTTTGTCAATTATGTGAAATGTGATACAAATAAAACTTGAAAAAAAAAAACTTGAAGATTCCCATGAATGAATGGAATGCCACCAAGTGCGTAAAGGTGTTTTAAGATACTCACGTTCGAATACAGTAATTGTGAACGTGCAAGACCATTCATTTTCACTTGGATCCTTGGCCACATACGTAATATCATATGTTCCTGGAGAGAACACACCTGGTCCGCGAGAAGAAGTGATTTGATATGTCGTGCCGGATTCATCTGTTGCTGTTGGAATTTGCCATGAAATGAATACCTGTGTTTGTCCACGAGGCACAGTCTCATTCAAGTTTGAAGGACAAGTAAAATCTAGAGGGGTGGTGTCAGCTGAAAGATATTGCAAAGGATAATCAATCCAGTTAAACAGAGACACAACCACATTAGTATGACTTTGCTACATAAATTCTAGAGCTACATATGACACTGAACTTAGAAATTATAATTATTAGAAAATAAATCATTTCATGTTTGTTATTCCGAAAGAAAAAACAGTCAGTCCGTCACTCAATATTCTGAAAGCGAGGTCTAGAAAGTAAACGGGTTCCCTTGCATAATTTCAATACACGGACACTGCTTATACGTTTAAATTTCGCAGATAGGACATACGTGACATGTTCATAATTCCGGCAAAATTCTACACAGAATTTGATGTTGGCTGCAAATGGGACACAGTACCTTTAAGTGACTCGGTAACATCGTTGAAGGTTGATTAAAATATTTCGTAATTTTTGTATGAAATGATACTTATAATCTTCCTTCTACTGTACCAACCATTTAACGTGCAAACAATCCTGAAAAAAGTTTAAACATTTTCAAGCCCCTCCTTTTTTTTCTTTTCGTGATGTCATGCAGGCGCCATTTTGTGAAATCACATTATCAATCATATCTTCATGAAGAGTCATCAAAGGTCATTCATATTCATATCACATATACTTTAGGTCAAGGGTCAACAGGTCATGTCATCAAAAGTTACATAAAGGTCACGATGCGCTCGTCAAAATTCAAAAATGCTCAAAATCACAAAACTATTATACGAGAGTACGAATCAGATCATTTTAAGCATTTCAAAAATCTCCACCCGCAGCGCCTACAAAAAGTAAACACGCCGTTTTTTTAGCATGGTTTGCATCAGCACCATTATCATCATCATCATGATCACCATCACGACCATCATCATCATCATCATCACCAAAATTATCATGATCATGATCATTATCTTTATAATCATTATCATGATCATCATTTATTCATCATCATGATCATCAAGGAGTTAATTTCATTATGGTCATGATTTTGATCATAATTATTTCTTGATATTTTGTTCATCAGTTAAGTTATCATTTCAGTTCAGGTCCAATCAGTTCAATCTATCAGTTCATCAGTACTTTATTCATCAGTCCATATCTTAATATATAATATTACATTAACATCATTATATTGGATCATTGAATTGAAGATGAGCATGATCATAAGAATTGAAGACAGACCACCTAATTCGTCCTCATGACGATTTAAATTTCTAGTTATTATTTATTTTTATTTCTCCACTTTTTGTGCACAGGATAACTCAACATCAGTTACTTAGGTCAATTTATTTTAATTTTGGTACAGTCATAGATCATTGTCATAAGACGTGTCATAAAACAACAGAAAATAAAATAAATTTTCAATAATTTATTGCTTTTACCCCGGTTCCCAACATAAACAAATCTTCTGTGTGCCCATGCCTTGAGCCATAATGCATGGCCGTCCAGAGGATTTTTTTGATGTTGGAGACCGGGGTAAAATGCACTAAATTATTGCAAATTTATTGCATTTTCTGTGTTTTTTTATTGTTGGAAACTGCCCCCTACCCTAGCCCCCGCTGCGTACAGTCATGGTTCAGTGACAAAGCAATGGCCTCGTAACTGTGAGGCCCCAGGATCAAAACCGTGTCGATGTGCTATATAAGTGCCCTTTTGTGGGGCATTAATCCTCATTACTGTCATTAATGACTTAAGGGAATAGGTCCCCTAGTTGATAAGCATAGTAGCATACACATGCTTTAGCTGTCACGCAAAACACAGATTGGTAAATTGTTATTCAATAAAATCTGAGAATGTATACTATTATTTAGATCTATTATTTTTTAATTAATTTTAAAACAATTCCATAAATTGGGGTAAAACAAAAATATTCCACCTTTATGAGCGACAGTGTATTCATTACAATTAATTTCGACGTCTTTTCAAAGAATTAATTATATCATGTGACACTTCCAGTATATTTTATATTATGTTCTAATTTTGTCAAATATGTGAAATGTGAAACAAATAATATAGGATTTCCCGGCCAAATTCGCGATTTTGTCATTCAAATTAATTTGTCTTACGTTCAAATTCGACGGTTTTAGTGCAGACAGGTATACCTCGGGTTTATATTCCCTTTTCTAGTTTTCAAATCTATGGAATTTTCGTTAGAATCTACGTATGTTTCATTCAAATTATTGAACAATGTGCTTCTTTCGCTATTTGGTCATTCGATTTGGCGCAACACAATTTTCTGACAACGCGACGGTGTACTTCTAGCATTCTAATTCATTTGTAGCATTCAAATTAGCACTTTGTGCACTTTAATTGATGGTCAATATACATTTCTCGTTTATTACACACTTTTTATAGCTCATTCTTTTTCTTTCAAGATTGTTTTTTCATGTGTATTTCATCATATTTCATTTTCTTGCATTTATACACTTATACTTATTAGATTTATCTGATATTCATCAGCATTTAAGTTTGATTGTTAAGAAGAAAAAAACGACTTGCATCTACGGACCTGATGGTCTCAGTATATTTGTAAATGTGCATGTAAGGAAGTTGTTTGTCTTATGTTTCATCATAAATTTATCATAATTTCATCATAATTTCATTATGGAAGAGGGGTACAATATTGTGACTGGGGTAGGATCTAGAGTCAACAATTTGAACATGATTCATTATTTAGCCATGTCTTTAGCCATCGATCTGCTGGCGGGCAAGTAAACTATGAAAATCTTTAAGAAAAACAGAGGGGTGTGCTGGGTATAAGAGACGATGTGAATTACTTTTGTAAAATTCCGAGTCTGTAGTATACTAAAAAGGGGCGATTGAGGGTACCCCCACCTTTCCCGTGTATATGAACATGTCCGTGCAGAAATGCCATATCCCTTGATTTCGTCCCTTCTTTACTTTATGTCTGACTACATCCATCCAAAATAAATAAATGGAATAACAGCTTAGACCCCAATGACAAATCATGCATTTTAACTGCATTATTTAAAAACTGTAAAAGTTTGTTGCAATTCTTCCCCATAACATTCCTAACTTGAATACAAATATTACGAATATGAATGACAGGTGTTAATTTGAATGATAAAAATTAAGCTTCGACAAGTGAATATTAATTTGAATGCTAGTTGAGCAGTTTCTAAATTGAATGACAGATCTATGAAACCCTTCGACCAAAATCCTAAATTAAATACAAAAACTGGAAAATCGAATGATAATTGGCATGGCAAAGCCGATCTGCGCTAACTTAAATGCAAAGTAAATGAATTCGAATGACAAACACGCGAATTTGGCCGGGAAATCCTATATTGAAAAAAAAAATTGAAGATTTCCATGAATGAATGGAATGCCACTAAGTGCGTAAGGTGTTTTAAGATACTCACGTTCGAATACAGTAATTGTGAACGTGCAAGACCATTCATTTTCACTTGGATCCTTGGCCACATACGTAATATCATATGTTCCTGGAGAGAACACACCCGGTCCGCGAGAAGAAGTGATTTGATATGTCGTGCCGGATTCATCTGTTGCTGTTGGAATTTGCCATGAAATGAATACCTGTGTTTGTCCACGAGGCACAGTCTCATTCAAGTTTGAAGGACAAGTAAAATCTAGAGGGGTGGTGTCAGCTGAAAGATATTGCAAAGGATAATCAATCCAGTTAAACAGAGACACAACCACATTAGTATGACTTTGCTACATAAATTCTAGAGCTACATATGACACTGAACTTAGAAATTATAATTATTAGAAAATAAATCATTTCATGTATGCTATTCCGAAAGAAAAAAACAGTCAGTCCGTCACTCAATATTCTGAAAGCGAGGTCTCGAAAGTAAACGGGTTCCCTTGCATAATTTCAATACACGGACACTGCTTATACGTTTAAATTTCGCAGATAGGACATACGTGACATGTTCATAATTCCGGCAAAATTGATCACCATCACGACCATCATCATCATGATCATCATCACAAAAATTATCATGATCATGATCATTATCTTTATAATCATTATCATGATCATCATCTATTCATCATCATGATCATCAAGGAGTTAATTTCATTATGGTCATGATTTTGATCATAATTATTTCTTGATATTTTGTTCATCAGTTAAGTTATCACTTCAGTTCAGGTCCAATCAGTTCAATCTATCAGTTCATCAGTACTTCATTCATCAGTCCATATCTTAATACATAATACTACATTAACATCATTATATTGGATCATTGAATTGAAGATGAGCGTGATCATAAGAATTGAAGACAGACCACCTAATTCGTCCTCATGACGATTTAAATCACTATTTATTATTTATTTTTATTTCTCCACTTTTTGTGCACAGGATAACTCAACATCAGTTACTTAGGTCAATTTTTTTTAATTTTGGTACAGTCATAGATCATTGTCATAAGACGTGTAATTAAACAACAGAAAATGAAACAAATTCACAATAATTTATTGCTTTTACCCCGGTTCCCAACATGAACAAATCTTCTGTGTGCCCGTGCCTTGAGCCATAATGCGTGGCCGTCCAGAGGATTTTTTTGATGATGGAGACCGGGGTAAAATGCACTAAATTATTGCAAATTTATTGCATTTTCTGTGTTTTTTTTTTATTTATGGAAACTGCCCCCTACCCTAGCCCCCGCTGCGTACAGTCATGGTTCAGTGACAAAGCAATGGCCTCGTAACTGTGAGGCCCCAGGATCAAAACCGTGTCGATGTGTTATATAAGTGCCCTTTTGTGGGGCATTAATCCTCATTACTGTCATTTATGACTTAAGGGAATATGTCCCTAGTTGATAAGCATAGTAGCATACACATGCTTTAGCTGTCACGCAAAACGCTGATTGGCAAATTGTTATTCAATAAAATCTGAGAATGTATACTATTATTTAGATCTATTATTTTTTAATTAATTTTAAAACAATTCCATAAATTGGGGTAAAAAAAATATATTCCACCTTTATGAGCGACAGTGTATTCATTACAATTAATTTCGACGTCTTTTCAAGGAATTAATTATATAATGTGACACTTCTAGTATATTTTATATTATGTTCTAATTTTGTCAATTATGTGAAATGTGAAACTATAGGCTACCTCAGTCTACAAAACTGTCCTTACAAATGACCCATATTTCGTAATAGAGGAATTTCTGTCGTGTACATAATGGTATTAAAAAGAGAATGTTAACGTTCGGTTTGGAGAGATAAACATGCACGTGTTTCGTGTTAACCATCATTACTAGGGTCCATCAAATACACTGAATAATATGTGTACGTGTGCCAGCTTTTGTTTAGGGACGGCCATGCACCTGTCTGATTACATAAGACATTGAATCCTATTTTGTTAAGCTCTTGGATGGCCCCCAGCTATATGATAAAATACTACAGTGCTCCCAGAAACTAGGAAAACTGAATCGGTCCATAAGTATCTTACTACATTGCCCAGCACCACGTGACTTGCAAGTAGGCCCCAGGGTTCGAATCGCATCGGCCGTTATAATAAGAACTTCGCGCATGAGCATATACAGCAGCTATGCTTGTTGTCGCACCATTGGTCTTGCAGGAGGTCCGTTACATAATGTTCGAAACACATGCTGCATGGAGGTATCGGTGTTGCTACTTGCACATATATGGTGCTGTTATTCCGCCCGTAAAAAGCGCTGAAGATGACGACTTTTTCGGGGACCCCTCTCTTGAAGTAAGCTTCCGAGCTTTCGTGGTTTATCCTGTTCAAGCCTTCAAGCTGACTTAACTGCAATGACGATATCGTCATTCCCTTGTTTTCCGCGTTTACATTCTGCCCAATAAATGTTCCTTCCTATCTCCACTATCCTAGATCCTACAGACTTCTAACGAATTCCTGTAGATAGTCTAAGACATGTTCTTTCATCTGCGGTGAATAACTGGGTTTTCAATGTGCCATCTTCGTACTCGAAATTCAAATCCGAAACCGACTCCGTCAAAAATCTCTAAAATTCTTCAAAAATGAACCTCTAAAAATCTAGAATTGCCATAACTTTCTCATACCAATTAGGTTTCGTGTCCATTTCTTGCAGTATCTTTATCTCATGATTGCAACAAAAAAAAAGCCATCCTGAATTTAACGAGTTGCTTTTCAGTCCAGCTTAAACATCCATACATTGCACCAAAGATTAAAGACATGAAATTTGATTGCAATGATTTGAAAATCTATCGTCCCGTAGCAAACCTTTTGTTTTAGTGAAAGTTGATTGAGAGAGCCATGGTAATGCGACTAGATGATCACTTAACTAGCGATTCTCTGTATGCAAAGACTCAATCTGCATATCACACTGATCATAATTGTGAAACAGCCCTTAATTGTTTGTGTTTTTAATGATTTGCTTCTAACTGCAGACAAAGGTGAAGAAGCCATTTTAATGTTATTAGACTATTCTTCTGCATTTGTTACCATCAATCATGCACTTTTGATTCGGCGTTTCCAAGCACTGTATGGCATTGAAAATAGTGCACTTAAAGATAAAGTTGAGTTCCTGTCATGTGATTGCATTGTGAAAGAAACGGTGTGGAATCTATCAGAAAAGGTTGATCATCTAGTATATAAGTATTTGTGTGTATTGCAAGGTTCTGGAATCATCAAAATGATAAGAAATTTTGCCAAATCTTGGCAAAGTTACGAGCACTGTACACAGAATGATGTATATGGGACTACACGAGCACATGGCGAAAAAAACCTACCCCGGATTTTTACGATGTTTCATGTCATATTTAGAATATGAAGACATTTGAAGAGCCATGCTTTTCAGGGAACATGATTAATCTGTTGTTCTTCCACCTTGCATAATAACAATAATAACGCTCACAAATAATTTGTTACCTCTTCCCAGAACTCAACCTTCTTTTTAAGTGGGTGCATTCATATTTCACCGCAGATCGCAGTCCGTCATTATAGATTCTCAAGAGTCAACAGCCACCTTTTTGAGTGAAGATGTTCCTCAAGGTTCCGTGTTCGGGCCGCTGGCATTTTCAATGTACACTCAACCACTAGAAAAAGTAATCAATTCTCAAGGCTCATCAACAATGATCAATGCCGATGATATGCAGATCTATTGCTTTTTCAAACATTCATGTATTGAATCTTCTCTATCAGCTTTGAACAAGTGTCTTAATGATGTAAAACAGGGTTTTACAATAATTCCTTGTTCTTTTAATAATGAAGAGAAAAAAACAAGTGGTGCATATTTCATCACGGTTTCACCAAGCTGAGTGCCTTAATTGCAGTGTTGCTTGAAGGCCATGTTTTGCAGCCTTCGAAATTTAGGTGTCATATGTGACAAACATTTATTACTGACTGATCAAGTAAGTAAAGTTCGCCGTGCAGCCTCCTTCTTATATAAAATAGGACAAATTAGGTGTTACTTAGATGAACAACTTACAGAACGACTAGTTCATAGTCGTAATGTGTCATATCGATAATTGTAATGCTCTTCTCTACAATCTATCTGAAAATCAACTGAATCGAATCCAAAGAATCCAAAATTCTGCTGCACGGCTTTGACATTTTCCATCGGAGCTTTGACCCCACTTTGCATAATGTATGCAAGAGTCGCGTGACGCGAAAGTTATATGAGAGTTAGGGCGTCGGTCATTGACCGCTATCTATAACGAGGCAGTGCGAACCACCCAATGTTTGCTCCAGCAAGGAATTGTGATAGATAGTTGTTTCCTTGTGTGGTTTTGAGTCGGATTGAAATGGAAGGTGTTTCAGGCAATATCGAACAGCCAGTTATCAGAGGACAAAAAGGGGAGCCTGTATCATTAGATTGCTTTAACTAATGCAATTAATGTGGCCGTACCAGGAGCTTAACTTGAGCGATTGTGGGAATTCATAGTTATGTTGACAATCAACTTGAATATCAAAAGATAGCCAACGAAAACGCTTCTTAAGACGTATAAAAGCTCAAAGCAAAGAAAATACAGTTCAGGTTCAAATGGAACAAGGAGCAAGTAAACTTTAATTGTTGCATATTAGATCAATTACAAGAAGCCAAGAAATCTTTTCCCTTGGGCAGTAGTGCAACTCCAATCCTTCAGAAAGCCGAACAAGATTTAAGGCAAAGGAACAAGTTGGTCAAGCTTGCAGACAAGTCTGAAGCGGGTTGGATGGCTGTTGATGAATATCTGGCTGATGATTTGGCCGAGGATAGTGAGGATGATAAGAAAATTCGTTCTGTCGAACCCAGAGCGGCAGCCAGAAAGAAAAAGTCTGGTGTCAAATCTGTTAAAAAACCCAAGCCATATCAAGCGAGAACACCGGTGGCTTCTCCCGCCAATCCAGCATAAATGGCTATCCTAATAATAATTTCCGTGGCCCAATCCGTCATAATGCCTCATATACTAGACCATTCCATCCTAGTTACCAATCAGGACACAAGGCAACCGATTTCTGTTTCGCCTGTTGGAGAATGGCCATTAGCGAAGGAATTGCCCTAGCTACAGCCCCAAACTATCGAAAGATAGCCAGTAACCGACGTTGCAGAGCAGAATAAAGGTAAATATTATCGGTTCCGAGTATTGGCTATATTTGCAGTATTATAATACCTCTTTTATAAAATAAAAGACTTGCATAATTGTTCTTAGTACCATAAATTTGGTACAGAATAAAGTAATAGGTTGTATAACATTCACTTGTAATACGAATTAGTTAAAATTGTACCAAAATTGCATACGTTTAGTAATTGAGTAAAAGCTAGGATGATATAATGTAATACATAGGTACGTAGTTTATGAAAGACTGAGCCACTATAAGATAGGATTGTGAATTTTGCAAATTTCACGTTGTCGGATGAAAATGGTGACTGAGAGTTCATCGTTTCGTACCTAATACAGATTTTTCGATATTATGGTGATTTAAAGTTGTGGTTTCACTAATTACCCCAAGATTTTCGTAAGATGAGCCATGCTTGCCCTTGTGCATCAGCCTCGGGTATTCCCATTTATCCTACCACAAATCCAATTAGTACGGATGCAGACGCGATGATGATGGAACTAGTAGTAGCCCCGGATTTAAGCAAATTGAATGCGTTGCCTAAAAAAAGGACACAAACCAACCAGTTAGGTACGATCCTGAGTTTTTTCTTAATAATAATTGTCATAAATATGAACAAGGAATTTCAGAGCCATTAGTAAGAGGAAGGCTCAAAGCATCTGTTGAATTTTGGTGCGCTATTGGTGCGGAACCAGAGATTTTTAATATCGTTAGTGAAAGGTACAAATTACCTTTTGTGAACACACTTCCTTCAACTTGTTTCAAGAACAATAAATCTGCAATTAACTGTAATGATTATGTTTTGGAAGCTGTGAATGATCTTCTGTCTAAGAACCTTATTGTAGAATGTCTAACTAAACCTTGCGTAGTGAATCCCTTATCAGTTTCATTTCAGAGTTCTGGTTAGCTAAGACTTAGTTTGGATCTAAGGTATGTCAACCAATTCTTGTGGAAATAGAAGGTTAAGTTTGAAGATTGGAATATTGCTCTTGAATTTTTCCACAAGGTGACTTTATGTTCATTTTTGACCTAAAGTCTGGTAACCATAATTTTGATATTTTTAAGTAACATTGCAAATATCTAAGCTTTAGTTGGGAGATCGGAAAGGCAGTTAAATACTTTTCTTTCCAAGTTTTGCCGTTTGGTCTATCGACAGCTCCGTATATATCCGACATCTTGTTAGACATTGGAGGAAGAAAGGATATGTTATTATTGTTATCCTTGATGACGGTTGGTGTAGATGTGATTATTTACGTTCATGCGAGTTAGTATCAAATAGCTTCAAAGATGATTTGTTAGCCGCAAGATTTGTGCCTAATATTGAGAAGTCTGTCTGGACCCCCATAACCAAGTTGAATTGGTTGGGTATGACTTCGGATTCCGAGGCAGGAGCTATAAGAGTGATTGAAAGCCGAATCTCTGATATGTTTGAATGTATTGATAGGCTGTCTTTGAAATTTCCTTGGTTTCAGCCAGAGAATTAGACTTTTTTGCAGGCAAAGATATGTCATTATATCCAATTGTAGGGAACGTGTCGCAACTGAGAACTAGATTTCTGTCCATGAAGGTAACAAAACGTCTACATTGGGACAAGATTTATAAGTTAGCCGTTGACAGTCTTGTGTTCAAAAAGGTTTTATTTTGGAAAGAAAATCCAAATAGATTAAATAACAGACATTTGTTTGAGTATTCGACACCTCAACATTGGATGTTGCGCCTGGACGGCTCAGTGTGGAGAACTGAAATTTTTCCAGAATTGGAAGTGTGATGAAATTGGTAAAAGTTCAACATGAAGAGAACTCAAAGGAGTTTCATTGGCAATAGAAGCATTCTCGCCAAGTTTGAAAGGAAATTAAGTCAATTAGGTGTTTACTGATAACACAAGTGTAGAGGTCAACATGAGAAAAGGCAGTATGAAAGTCGATCTGCATGATTTAGCATTGCGTATCGCTGAGTTTTGTAACAGTCTTCCCTTAGAAGTTTCTGTCATTCTGTGCAATGGGTCCCGAGAGACGAGAATGTAGAGGCAGATATCCTGAGTAGACAAGAAGATTTCGATGACTGGGGTGTTACTGCAGAGTTTTTATAGTTCATTGATACTAAATTGGGCCCGCACACAGTAGATAGATTTGCTGATGAGTTCAATCATAAATTACCGGTGTTTAAAGATAAAGACCAGCTATATGCGATTGCATTGTGAAAGAAACATTGTGGAATCGATCGGAAAAGGTTGATCATCAATTATTGATGTTTACTGCAAGGTTCTGGAATCATCAAAATGATAAGAAATTTGACCCAGTCTTCGTAAAGTTACAAGCACTGTACACAGAAATATGTATATGGGACTATACGCACACGTGCGCGACACGTGCGTTTATCTCTCACATAAACAAATCGATAAATTAATTTACCAAATATATCAATTAGTAGGCGGTTCCTCGGCAAAATTGTTATCATCATGTATTAGTCAAAACATATTCTTTCACATTGGTAATTAAGAGCTTCCATTTCATTTTTTGAAATTGGGGCGTTTCCAATACTGGTCTTTACATTTAATTCTAAATTCTGGTGTCCTTCTCCTATGCGTTTTCTTGTGATTGGAGTAAGGAGATGAATGGGTTGATCCCCTTATCTCCCTAGTGGGAAGGGCGATCAAACATGTTAAATATTGTCGGGCCTTCATGGCCGTCTGCCCCATTTTGGCCTCTTTTGTTTTCATCAAAAAGTGCAGTAAACCTGGTGGTTGATGTCATGAGATTTTCTGATCCAAAGCGTGTCTTTGTCCAAGGTCGCAACCCTGATTCTGTTTTTGGGACTTCCAAGATGACAAGTGAGGTCTTGTGCCTGAGGTTGGATGGAAGAAATATACTAGGGTTCCAGATATTTGAAGTTAATCTCAGCAGGTAAAAGTGATTTGAGACTGGAAACAGAGATATATTGTCAGAGGCGGCCCTCCTGGGGGACAGGGGGGGGGGGGAACAGTGCCCCCACTTTTTCAGATACCCCAAAAGTGCCCCTTTTTACATAGGAAAAGTGCCCCTTTTATTTTGTAAGAAGTGCCCCTTTTACATAGGAAAGGTGCCCCTTTTACTTTGACAAGTGCCCCTATTACTTTATAAAAGTGCCCTTTCCCCCTTTTCACCTCTGACGAATGCCCTTTTTATTGTTGACACGTGCCCCTTTTCCTTCGACATGTTTCCATTTTCCTTTGCAATAAGTGTCCATTTTCCATTCCCATAAATCTTGAAATTATCTTGAATAAGTGCCCTTTTTAATCTCTAGTAAGTGCCTCCTTTCAGGTACGAGAAGTGCCCTTTTTCACTTTTAATAAGTGCCCCCCCCCCCCTTCACCTCTGATAATTGCCCTATTCAAAACTGAGAGGTGCTCCTTTTACTTTGACAACTTCCCCTTTTTTCCTTTGTAAGAAGTGCCCCTTCTCCTTTTAATAACTACCCCTTTCTTAAACTCGGATGAGCACACCTTTCATTTTAACATGTGCCCCTCTTATTTTCTAATAGGTGCCCCTTTTCCTTATGATAAGTGCCCCCATTAAAAAGAAAGAGCTCCTTCCCCTTCTCATAACTGCCCCTTTTAAACATCTGAACGGTGCTCCCTTTTCATTCAACAAATTCCCCTTTTAATAATGATACGTGCCCCTTTTCCTTTCTAATACATGTAAGGGACCTATCCCCTTTTCACCTCTTATAAATGCCCCTATCAAAATATGAGGGGTGCCCCTTTTCTGTCAACAAATGCCTATTTCCCATTTTCGTTAACGCCTCTTTTTCATCACCGGTGAGTGCCTCTTTTCAGGTGAAAAAATACCTCATTTTCGCCTCTTATAATTATCCTTTGTACTTTGACACGTGCTCCTTTTCTTTTCTAATAAGTGTCTTATCCCTTTCGATAATTCGTCGCTGTTACCCTTTTCATGTAATCATTAAACGTGCCCCTTATTTAAAGCGACTAAGAGCAATTTCCCCCAAAGTTCGCTCACTGCGCTCGCTCGCGTTTAAAGATGATATAATTATGTTACTTATCAAAGTTGTTTTCAGTCTTCCGTTATGAGAATGTGCTTATAACCCCATCACGATTGGCTTTTTTCCTCTTTATAAGATGTAATTTTTCGCACTGCGACCTCACAGATCTTTAAAATTTTTCTCGCTCGCTTCGCTCGCTCGTAAATGCATATTCAGACATCACACCCAAACTGTAAAGTATGATGCCTAAGCGATATCTTGTATGATGTATGAAGAGAAACAAATATTGAAATCATCCCTGATAATGTAATCACAATGTAGTGATATATACCAATGTCTAACAAATTGTATATTTTCGCTTTGAGATTTCCCACTGTAGGTGCCCTTTTTTGTTGGTGCCCCCCACTTTGGAAGTCGCTCGGCCGCCCCTTTATATGGTATATACACGAATGTGTATTGTTATGAGATAACAAGATTGATTGTGCAGCGCATTGCATTTAGGAGAGTTATAATAAGCCCGGATGGTCTTCTCTCCGTTTATACATGTTGTATAGTAGATTGGTCATGTGGATGACTATTTTTGAGTGTTTTCAAATACATTTAACCGTTAGGTTTAATGAAGTCAATTTCTCGCATGAGAACAAATTTTTCAATTCTTCTCTGTATATTGAATTGCAGGATAACAAGTGACCATAAATCATTGCAGGAAGTGTTGATGGCATCTAGAGCTACTAGCACTGTACCGAAATACAGGAAAGCTTTTGAAGATTGGAAGTCCTGGTGTGCTGCAAACTGTGTGTGTGAGTTACCGGCACAAAAGGCGGATATCGTAAGGTATTATATGAGCATGTATAATAATGACGCAACTTATTCGAGGATTGAGAAGCACTCTTTGGCATTAAATGGTTTCCTGACTGCTCGCCAGTAACCGAGATAAATCCCTGTAATTCAAGATTTTTTCATCTACTTCTTGCTTGGTTGAAAAGAATTCTAGCTCATCCTAAATGTAAGAAGGAACCTATAACTCCAGAATTCTGATTAAACTTGTTAATAAGTATGGTTATTCTAATTGTTTCAAGGAAGCCAGATTGTGTTCTATATGACACTGTTACCTTAATATTACGCAGGCTTTTTTAGGGACGCTGAGCTAGTGGAGCTCAGAGAGTGTGATATTTCTGTACATACTCTACATGTCGAATGTTTCATTCAGCATAGTAAAACTGACCAATATAAAGAAGGTGCAAGGGTCATTATTGCTGCAACAGGCAGACCTACCTGTCAAGTTGACATGTTGAATAAATATATGCTACTAGGTGATATCATTCCAGGTTCTTCAGAGGAATACCTTTTCCGCCCATTGACGCTCAAGAAATCCTTGAAGAAATATGTTTGAGAGGGGGCAAATTGTCGTATACAACATGCCGTGATCTTGTTAAGGCTGCCTTATCTTCAATAGGGTTAGATTTATCATACTTTGGCCTACATAGCCTTAAAGTAGGCGGTGCCTCTGCGGCAGCTGCTATAGGTATATCTGATCGTCTTTTCAAGAAACATGGCAGGTGGAAATCTGATTCTGCTAAGGATGCTTATGTAAAATAATCTCTGCAGAACCAGCTAAGTGTATAATCTTGGCATTTAACTGAGTCTGAGCAGGTAGTAGGAATTCATAAATTCCTAATTTATTATCTTAAAATCTTACAGTGGACAGGGACGGATCCAGGAGGGGCGGGGGTATAGGGGGCACGTGCCCTCCCGGCCGCCCAAAATATGTTAAAATCAGCCCTAAATTCGCCAAAATGTGCTGAAAAATGGGGAAGTAGCCCCCCCCCCGGCAATTTTTGTTAATAATTATTTTCGTTAAAAAAAAAATATACAAATGGCTGACCTAAAAAGATGACCTTACCCCTCCCCCCTCCCCTCCCCCAACGGATCAAAATGTCAGATTTACAAATTACGTGACCAAAAAAAAATGTGCCGTGTCTAGTCATTCCTGAAAATCGTCAGCCTTTGTTAGGATTACGGACAAGTGAAGACTTGTATCTGGTGAAACGGGTGTATCATGTAGAGAAACAAACAGAACACGTAACGGGTAAAAGTGTAGTTCAAGACTATCGAGATGTTTTTGTAGGTCTAGGTTGTCTTCCTGGGCATCACATTGAGAAAGGACGCACATCCTGTTCAGCATGCATGTCGCAAAGTTCCATTTCCACTTCAAGATAAACTCGAAGACGAGTTAGATAAGATGGAACGAATGGACGTAATCCTGACACGAGTTGATGAGCCAACTGATTGGCTTTCTTCTCTCGTGGTGGTGATGAAAAAGAATGGTAAACTCAGGGTCTGTCTAGATCCAAGAGACCTGAACCGAGCAATTAAAAGAGAACACTATCAATTGCTATAAAGAGCTGAAATAACTGCACATTTTGCAGGAGCCAGATACTTCAGCAAGTTAGATGCATCTAGTGGTTTTTGGCAGATCCAACTAGATGACGAAAGCTCCAAACTTTGTACGTTTATCACGCCATACGGAAGGTACAAGTTCTTGAGACTACCTTTTGGTATTTGTAGTGCTCTGGAAGTCTATCACAAGATAGAGCACCAACTGTTTGCACACATTCCGGGAGTTAACACAATGATGGATGATGTGATTGTATGGGGAACTACCCAACAGGAGCATGGTGACAGGTTAAGAGAGGTTTTCAGCATTGGGAGAAAAATGAATCTCAAGTTGAACAAAGACAAATGCGAGTTCAATGTCAAGAAGCTCACATTCATTGGTGACTTGATCAGTGATCAAGGAGTTCAACCTGATCCAAAGAAAGTGTCTGCTAACATTGAGAGACCGAAATGTCGGATAGATGTCCAACGGTTCTTAGGTATGATCAATTACCAAGGGAAGTTCATTCCAGATCTGTCGACCAAGTCAGCAGCGCTGAGACATCCACTAGACAAAAAGAATGTATGGACATGGGATCATGCACAAGAGGATGCATGGAATCAGCTGAAACAAGCTAAGAGCCAGTCCTACATTTTTATGACTACAAGAAACCAACCAAGCTGTCAGCAGACGCATCAAAGGATGATATTGGTGCAGTGCTACTACAGCAATATGATCAAGATTGGGTTCCGATCGCATATGCATCTAGATCAATGACTGATGCAGAGACTAGATATGCACAGATCGAGAAAGAATTGCTGGCAATCACATACGCATGTGAAAGATTCCATCAAAACATCTATGGTCAACAAGTAGAAGTGGAGACTGATCACAAGCCACTTATTCCACTGTTTGTAAAGTCACTGGGTGACTGTCCCCTACGCATTCAAAGGTTACTAATCAGGGTACAGAGATATGATCTCAAGGTCTCGTACACGCCTGGAAAGTACATGTATACTGCTGATACATTGTCCAGAGCAGTAGATCCAAAGGCTGAGTTGAATGCTGAAACTGAGGAAGATATCAGAGTCTACGTAGATGCTATTGTCAAGAGCATGCCAGTTACATCGAATAAACGAAATCAGATTGTCGTAGAGACAAAGAAAGATGATCAACTGCAAAAGCTGCTAGGCATCATCAGAGATGGTTGGCCGGAAACGAAGCAGCAATGTCCAGTTCGAATCAGGGAATACTAGAACATCAGGAGTGAACTCTCTGAAGCAGATGGCATCATCTTCAAAGGCAGCAAAATAGTGGTTCCCACTACGATGAGAAGGTTC